TGACATTTCTAACTTGAACCTTAACTTTATTTTTGTGGAGTTTTTATGTTTACTATTTGCAATAATATTTAAAATGGAACAAAGACCTAATTATTATATAAATGCAATGAATAAAGTGTTGCTTTTCTGTCTTCACACTATGTGAGGCAAAAATTACGAGAACGTAGCTCAATATAATATATATTATATCATTTAAAACAACTAACATTTATTTACATTCATTAAAATAAATATCAGTCTATCCAATAATCTGACACATAACACATATATTATATGACATATATATATATATATATATATATATATATATATATATATATATATATATATATATATATATATATATATATCAAAAAATTTCGGATACGACAATTAAATATATTCGTATAAAAAATTTCGTATTTCGTGTCATCGGATATCGGATCTGTGAAAATCCAGCTTAACACTCGGACCATTTTATATATTTTTTACTTATATTTCATAACACTTATTTAGCACTTGTAAAACACGTTTTATAACAGATATTAATATTTTTTTAGTTGCTTTTTCGTTCATTCTCTCCGGTATAATGACCACTTTTGAAGACTCTCTATACGCTGGAAAAACGTGGATTATTGTTACGGCTGTGATTTTGCTGGTCGTTTTGGCTTTTTTGCTGGTGTTGGTGTCTTTCCAGCCTTCCACAACTATCGACAATGGATTTTCGGTGAGTATATTAGAGAAATTGATGTACTAAATTGTATATACGAGGGTGAGGTGATAATAATCTAGAATTCAATATATTCCAATTAAATAAAATCTACAAGGAAAACAATTCCTGTAGCTGGCTGTATACCACGTATCGCAAAAAAGAGGTTAGTCTTTGTAAATGGGTATATTTATTTAAAAAAACCCTTAAAAGGGCTACATAAAAAAAAACAAACGTTTTCGGACTAAACAGTCTATCATCAGGTTTAAAATTGCGAGGTTAAAATGCCTGAGCCACCAAAATACCAGGGTAAAAACCCTTTAAATTACATGTAGTTATTAAAGATTGTACATATTGTTGTTATAAAACTGTGATGTTAAATATTAAATTGAATTTGACTTCAGGTAACATGTTTGAAGTGAGTTCCAGTGTCCGGAGAGTAAACCTCTTCAAACGGACTACAGCGGACTACAGAGTTACCAGTTTTGTTTTTTTATATATTCCAATTGTTCTCTATTTTGGGGGGCATGACATGTATCAAAATTTTAGGAAAATGCAACGTTTGTCGTAATACGTACCCTCATATGCAAAGAAAAAAGCAAAGCAGACTCTAAGTCGAACAGGATGCTTGTTATGGCGATTCAGCGTGTTACTAGCAATAGTTACACTTTGAAAAGTTGAAATTATTCGTGGTCATAAGAGTGTTTTTGATAAGGAATGTGAAAATGTCCTCGAAATCGACACGATTCTAGATGTCGTCAACAAAATCCATGATATGCTCATGACAGATTGCATAACAAACATTAATGAGATAGCAAAGGCTTTAATCATGTTAATTAAGTATGTGCGTAACTTCATATAGGAACATTTGGACATGCCGTTAATCCGAAGGATCTTTTCTTCGATGCATAACTGACGGATAAGAAAGAATCGTCAAAGCTCTGAAAAAATGCGGCAAATGTCCACCGAATATCGATAAGACGATCGCAAAAGTGATGGCAACTGTTTTTTTGGGATGAAAAGGTTATTACTCACATGTTTACTCAATTTAGTGTACAGTAAGTAATAACTTGCATGTACTTTGCACCTCTTTGACCCTTCCAACACTGATTTGAAAAAGAAATGCCCTTGTTTGTCTTGCAAAAAATGCTCTTCCCTCAAGACAACGACATTGCTCACAAGACAGTCGTGGCATTGCCATAATTACGCCAATTGAGATAGGAATTAACCGAAAAGTGTCCTTTTCTGTTTTGCAACGACAAGGTCATAGCCAAATGATCTTACTCATTTGAAATTCCTGGAATTTACAATACATTCTGCGGAAATTTTAGAAATATATAGGACAAATCAAACGGGACTTTAAAATTGCTAATTGTTGCAATGGACACAGTATGCCAGTATTGTCAATCATTGAAGTTGCACAATAAATCGTTTGGTATCTGTTGCACATCAGGAACACTTGTTTTACCACCTCTTACCACTCCACCAGAACCTTTAAAGTTACTTTGATTTGAAGGAGATTGACGATTTGAACGAAAAATCGTTCTGTTGCCACGTATCTCAATGATACCTTCATATACCACAATATCATTAACCATTATCATAACCATTAACAAATCTCTAGGCCAGAAATGGAAATTGTCAATTATATGTTGCATACTCACGTGTTGGTCAAATTCATTTATTCGTAGCAAATTATATTCTGTGTAATAAATGTTTTTGTTAATTGTAGGTTCCTTTTATACCATGGGTTCCTGGAATAAGCATTTTTACGAATATATATCTAATGACGAATATTCAGAAGGATACGTGGATCAAGTATGGATATTGGATGGCTATAGGTAAGTAAATGTTTCACCAAACCAGTTATTCTTTGTTTAATTGTTTTAAAGTTGGAAAATTGTCATTTTACCTAGTTTTTTTATTAAAATTATCGATTTATTGCACAATATCATTATTCTTTTGTCTAATACATTTTATCTGACTATAACATAGGTCTTTATGCGTCACATCCCTGTTGCTCCATTTAATATAAAGTCTCTTTCTTTCCTATTTGTAGTTTCATGATCGCCAATATTAGATTTCTAAAAAAAGAAGAAATTCGAATAGATAACATCAGAGCGAATAATGAAGACATCACAATTCCAAATCCCCCAATTTCCACATTACCAAACTACCAAGTTGGTGAATACGCTGTTCTTGAAAAACAGCACCTTTTCTTTTGCAAATCAGACATTCATTCATAATGTTCTCATGTAATCTGCTCAAGAAGATCTGCCTCTTATTATTTATAAGTACTAAGAGGTTTTGCCACTTTTCATCGATAAAGTCTATCGAAAAATCTATATTGTAGACACTTGGCGTCATCAATAAAAATACTGCTCAAAAAGAATAATATGGTACATTTGAAATACTCTAAACAAAAGGTTTTAAATAGCACTTTTAAGTATTCACTTGCTAATCCTGCAATTTGTCTACAGCTTACTTGACTATGCTCATTATCCCTAGTATTTACTGAATATTGTGAAGGTTGAATATATAGTGCCAGTAACATGGTAGTATTGATGAAACTGAGAACTTAAGCTATTCAGCTTTTCACTTGCCAAAAATGGGTGTTTATTTATTTCTTATACGATGAGATGTGCGTTAATTGGCGACGTGCAAGTACTTGGATGTGATACGAGAAACGATCGTGCGCGAGTAGCGGAGAAATGTTGCATTTTTTACTGCAAATTTCATAGATTTCATAAATTCATATTGTCAATTGTCATATTTCATATTCGTTTGTTTATTTACAACTTCTGTCACTGAAGAAAATGGGATTTAGGAAATGCTGTGTTATAAATTGTAAAAATACAACAAAAAATTGTCAATTTAAGTTTTATTCGTTTCCAACTTCGAAGCACAAATTACTACAAAGAGAAAAGTGGATTTATATCATAAAAAGGATAAGTGGCAGAACCTAAATTATGCATTATTCTTGCGCCCGATTTTAAAGTCAGTTTGAAATAAATAATAAATAAAAGTTCACTTTTAAGTGTAAATTTTAGTTTCATAACACTCACTTTTCATTGTTCATTTTAACCTCAAAATCAAGTTTATTGTTTAAATTTTATTTTTTTGAAGTTTACAAAAATGCATCAAGTTCAAGTTTTTCTGAAGATGCATTAAGATATATTCGCTGTCCAAAAGTTTACAGGGAAAGAATTAATTGTTCAAACCAATATGATGATAGCATGGGCTTAACCTGCTAATTTATGCATTAGTATTATTTATGGTAATTTATTTTTCTTAATTCTTCCACATAATTCTTCCATTCTTTTTTTGACATTTGCCACTACTAAAGCTTTTCCATTTGACTCAGTGCTTGGTTGAAAAGTTATTTGGTGATTTACTTTCTCAAATCCAGTTTTTATTATTGCATCCATATTAACAGTAATGCTGTAATTTAATAATATATTTATTTGTATTTACACTACATACAACGTTTACCTTTTAATAACATACCGACATAACCTCAATCTTACTTTTTCTTCTTGTTCTTTTTTGGGGCTACGTCCTTGACAGTTATCAGGTAACCTCGATCTAAGATGAAAGCGCAGTAAATTTTGCTGATTTACGACACCAGGTGTCGCTGTTCCGAACTTGCACGGCCCCAATAAAGCTGAAATAGTCTATATAAATATCATAACACTAATAGTTAATTTTTGTTTTCTTTTAGGTATAATTATCTACTTTGCTTATGGATTGTGGCATAGTACGGAACGTGACAGAAGCAAGGATGACGAACAGTCAAAGGCCATTAACCGTAGTGATAGTTGTTCCTCATAGTCGAATACCAAATATAATAAGAAATTCAGTATTTTCTTGTATTAGAAGCAATTTATTTATATTTTTTACATTGAACACTTATTGTTTTCATTAAAGTGAGTAAAGTTTGTGATGAAGTTAGTTATTTAGATGTCCTTGGGTGTCGTGCAGAAGGACATCATGTATCCATTGACAGGACAAAAGATAGAGAACTCTTGGCATGCGAAAAGAAGAGCAATATAACCCCCATTGGGCGTATTTATTTGAACCTTAGAAAAGGAAAGGGAGAGAATAGGTAACGCCTCGTTTGATAAACCTCGTTTAAAATAAGGAAAATATTATAATAGCAGCGCCATCTATTATTATAATAATGACTCGTACAAAATTGAGTAAGTGAATCTCAAAATCGCCATATTCTAGAATATTTTCAATCTCGTCTAACATTAAATAAGGCTTATAATAGAGTATATAATATAAATAATATACGTATAATAAATACAACTATTTTATTATCGTCCCACTTTTATTTTTTATTATCAAATCTGAAGCAACTTGCGTCTCGTTGTTTCGGCGCGGTCCAGTCGGTTCTTCGGAAATTACCAACGTAAATGTCTTCCTCTTTGGCTGGCAAGTAAGCGAAATAATTGTTTCTGAAGGTACGAAACGGAAAAGGATAGTCGTACATTATAGGGAAGTACTCCCTGGCGCTGTGGACCCGTAACTGCTTGATTTTGCGGCGGTACTCGAATATTAGCGAAGAAGTCTGCAAAAATAATAAAATATTGAATAAAATTGAGTGGTATGGTACCAGAAACAACAGATGTTATAATCGGACAAAAAAATGAAAACATAATTGGTTTAGTAGTAAAATTAGATTAAAAATTTATGTAAATCTACAAAAATTGTTGAAGTTGCGCCTTCATTAGTACCTAATACCCATTTTGTACTTACATATCATCAATTTGATTTATAAATGAAGTGATTTCAAAAAATAGATTTTATCAATCTCTTTACTATTGAATATTCTCACCTGTAGTTTTTTAATGTATTTACATAAGGTAGGTGATCCAAATAAGGCTACGTTAACATTTGATTTTTTTAAAAGGAAGCATTTGAATTAGAATATACCAAAATAGCTTTAAATATCAGTTAACTTACCGAAAACTCATTTCACGGCCTAACCTAATTAGGATTTTTTTCAACGACTTTATACTTACCATCTCCCTTAGGGGTTCGAAATGGTTCCAGTTAAATTTATCGGCCATATGTGGACAGATCGGCATTTTGGGTACTTTAATCTTCTGATAACAAATATTTGTGTGCATCAAATATTTATTGGTCAATTGATTAAACGCTCCTGAAAGAAAATACGGTCAAACTATGAAAATATATTACTAGTAAGTCAGTAGTAGTAGTAATAACCACTGGGGTGGTTTAATCGAGTATATAACGATGAAAGAACAAAAAATAAACTGGGTTATACTTTTTTGTCGTTGTGTCCAACTTTTGCCGCATCTCATTTGCATCCACAGACGGAATATTGGTAGCTTATGCGCATCTGGAAGTTTAGCTAAAGGGTATCCATCCATCGCTAAGCCTTCTAGCAGTTTCTGAAATGTATAAGCAAAAAAATGGGTTAAGTTGGTAAGTTAGGTGGTCATGAAACAAATTGTACAAAGAAGTAGAATCTTGAAAATATTATTGTGAGTTTGTACCTAAAAGAGTCTAATAAAGAAAATGAAATATTTAAAAAGGAAAAGAGTTGTTAACCACAGTAAAAACAGCCAAAATTGAATACGTCGGCCACATAATGAATGAGTGAATTGATTGTTTGATTATCAATTGTTGTAACGGTACATAGTTTTTACTAATAATCATAATTTTTTATTTATTTCTTGTATTCTTGTAAGCTATTCGCTCCGAGGGTTAACAAAGTGTCAAAGCAAAATCGACTGACCTGCTCATGGTGGCGATTGCTTGAAATTTTATCAGGACGCTTTTGTACATGGTACCACAGAATAATAAACATACAGAATACCCACTCTCCACGGAAAATTAAGTACGCGCATCTCCTCCGCGCAGACGTTCCGCCATGTTTTAGGAGGATTTTAAAGAAATTATGTGGTGTGCATGGAAAAATTAACCAGGTTTATTTGACTTACGGCAATCATAGACATACTATACAATTATATTAACATTGTTAAATATAATATAATTAAACATAAATATAAACAATTACATAACCACACAAATCATATGTCTGTGTCCTCCTCAAACATGGCGCGCGTGCTGAAAAACTTCAAAGGCGGCATCTGAGAGTGTCCCTTCTGATTGTTTATTATTCTGTGATGGTACAATGAACATATTCATTGTACCATGGATGTTGATCATTGGTTGATCATGTATATATAACCTCACTTTCGTAGATTATGTTAATAAATCTTTATTAACGACAAAAAAATATTTTTGTTGAACTATAAATGTCACTTTAAATAGATAACTAATTAATTCTAAAAATTGCATCCGGATATTACCAGTACAAAATAAAATATTTAAGTTTAACAAAATAATCCCATAAGACTCAATACTAAAACGTCCTCACGAATTTGACAGCGTGTCACGTGACTGTAAATAGAGGGGAGACCCACGGAGCGAATAAGGTAAAGTGGCCAAAATCCGTCCCCTGTCCTAATTTCGTCCTCCACTGTAACTTCTACGGACAGTAATACAACCTTGCGAGACAGTAAGGAAACTCTTCAAAACGATCCAGTGTATTAGTGGCAGTGAAGTAGGAATCTTCGTTCTGTTCACCTAACCTTAAATTTTTCATAAATAGTTTATGTGATAGCTTGCTACAGTTTGTAATCTACTTTAAATACTTATACTGACGCCTAAAGGTAAGTTTAAACTGATTTATCGATTGATAATAATAGAATGCTCTTTGAGTATTATATTTCATTTGTCACAGCCGTGTAGTTGTAGTCGTTTCGTCACGATCACGAACACCGGCCTTGTTTTATATAACGGAATTCCTAAATCCGTCCCCTTTGAGGTTCTCAAATACGTCCAGGGACGGATTTATGAATCTTTTCATATATTTTTCTTTCAATAAATTTTAATTTTCCCTGACTACTTAAATTATTTTTTATGGATATATAATCATTTTTCGATATGTTGTAATAGTTTTTTTCTACTCTCTTACTATTAAATTGTATATTACCTACTATTTGGATGCTAAGTAAATGCATCATAACAGATACTGACACGTAATGACTAGCACGTAATAAAAAAAATTACGCTTCAGTTTTATAAAAATGTGTAATATCACAGAAGCCTCGTAAATCAGTTGGTCGAGTTACCATGGAAACGAATTAACAGACGTTATTTTTATAAACAAAAATATTCCTAGAAAAAGTATAGTACACAACTTGAGTTGTAAGCTTATTACATGCTTGTAAAATTACTGCGCTCACCGCTACGCGGCTCGCGCGCAACTTTTTTACTCGCATGTAATAAGCTTCTTACAACTCTCGTTATGTAATATACTATAACATGTAGACATCTTAGTCTTGAACAGTAATAAGAGTACATAATAAGCAATGTACAAGGTATAAATTTTTTCAGATGCCACAACGCAAAGCGTGGAATCCTAATGTCATGGTGAGAGCTATCACTGCTGAGAGATAAAGAAATGGGATATAAAATAGCTGCTAAAACCTTGGTGTTCCGAAGGCTACTTTAAAAGATTATGTCAAATCTGACCGCACACCAGAAGAATGTGTGAAATTAAAATTTGGAAGAAAGCCAGTTTTTACAGCTGACCTCGAGAAAAGTCTTGTCGAATACTGTCTGGATATGAAGCAGCATTATTATAGACTGACTATTTCTGACCTGAGGTGGTTGGCTTACCAGCTAGCCATTTTAAACCAAGTACCTCATCCTTTCTCGAATGAATCAAGGGCTGCTGGCAAAAAGTGGGTTAGACTGAGACTAGAGGTGCCTGCCAATGGACGGGATAATGATAACCAGAATGTTCTAGTCCCACCTCAAGCGGTCAGTCCACGAGACATCCAGAATGTTCCAGTCCCACCTCAAGTGGTCAGTTCACGAGACAACCAGAATGTTCCAGTTATCGAACCCTCCACATCTTCTAGAGCCGGTACTTCATTCTTGGTAACTGGATCTCCTCACAAAACTTCTCTCAAAATCTCTTTACAAAATAAACAAATGGCAGAAGAGAAGAGGCAGTCAAAGGCTAAGAAACGTCCCAAGAAGAAAATAACAAAGTGAGATTTAAATTCAAGTGACTCTGAGGACGAAACAGAAGTTCCACTGGTATCAACCGATGATGAGGATAGTTCTGGTGATGATGCACCAAATGCCATGTTCGGAAAACGTTTTTCACAAGACGAGCGAGGAGAAAAATGGATAAGGTGTTCGGAATGCTTCAGTGGTGTCATGAGATGTGTTCAACTTCAACCAAGGTCAAATATTATATTATAAATAAAGCATCAAAATGTATAAATATGTTCCTATCTCAATAAATTTATTATAACAGATATTAGTACTGTTTAAATCATGTTTTACAAAAAAAAGTCATACATTTTTACTAGGAATGGGTGGGGGACGGAATTGGGATACCATTTTTAAAGAACCGAAATTTGCTTTATTTTGTTACTTATTTATTTTTACTTCAGGAAATTTTATTTAGTGGAATCGTACTAGCAAAACTCTTAGACATAGAGTTAAGTTACTTAAATCAGTTTTTTCCATTATTTTAACTCTAAATCAAAGTTCAGAATTTAAGATTTTGCTTAGGGGGGCGGTATTTGGGCACTTTACCTTATGCAAAGATTGTGCCATCTGCACATCAGAAATTTGTCAGGCGTTCTACATTTATTAGTACACTCTCATCGATGTCTTGCAGGTCTGTTGTAAATATCTTTTCTAATCTTTACAAAAGAGGATTAAAAGGAAAATAAAATAGCCAAAATTGATTAATACACCGTAAAAAAGTGGATATTTCAGAGAAATATAATCACAATTGAAATGGTATTTAAAAACTTTAAACCTTACCTTTAAAATCTCCATCTGTTTTCGTTTATTGCAAGGAATTTTATCAACTATAAGAAATCGTTTGAAATCAGAATCACCGAATTCCTTTCCGTCTCCACACTGCGTTTCTGTCGCTTTGAATCGTTCATCATCAAAACAGGTGCATGCGTCATTAGCATCTTCAGTGCAATTACAGGGATCATCAAAGCAGGTGCATTTAAATGAAGGATCTTCGGTACAATTACAAGGATCATCAAAGCAGGTGCATTTATGTGAAGGGTCTTCGGTACAATTACAGGCATCCTTTTCTTTAACTATTTCATCAGACTTACATACGCATGGATCCTATCGAAATATATTTTAAGTTTGTTTAGTGCTTGGAAAAGTGTTTAGTGCTTACGGAACTTTTTTATTTTTTATTGATTTTTTAATTCGATAAAGTTGCGAACTGAGAGTTAGGTCTGCTTGCCATTATGCTAATTTCAGTACTGATTTCAGTGCTAAAAATATTAGTTAGTTGCGCGAGCCGATTTAGTATGAAAAATGTATGTTGGTGTTTGCAACTATCTTGATTTTAATTAGCCTGTAGGCATGCGCTCTACCAATTTTGTATTGACAGTCTAACCTATCTGAAGTTTGTTTTATAATTTTATGATTAGAGTAAACAAAACAAACAGGAGTTTGTACAATTCCGCCTTTATTTCTTCCAAAGCTTTTACTCTCCCATTCCTATTTTTGTATAATGGATGTTTTGGCACATATTAACAAGGTTTTGCTTTATATAGTTCGATTAAATTTTCTATTTGCTTTTGACTCCACATATTTAAAAACAAAACATAAACATACGTAACATAACCTCAGTTTTAGTTAATATTGGATCATTTTTAGTACAAGAAATTAGAACATGTTCTAATTTTTAGTACTGAATCGGCGCGCGCACCTAATTTGTAGATACAATATTTTTAGTGCTAAATTTAGTACTGAATTTAGCATAATGGCAAGCGGACCTTAGACTATTCCCCACGCGTTTTCTTGACTTAGAACCTTTACCTCTTGCGTATGGGAGGCAAAGACGCATCGTTCCATAAATCGGATGGTGGCCCTGCCAAAAAAAATCAAAAGCTTTTCCACCTCGTGTCGCGAAACATTAATTTTTACAACGGTTACGACAAAACTGCATTCTTTTAGTTTCTGACACGAATTCAGACATTTCCAAAGCGAGTATTAACTCTCAGAAACGAAAACTTGTTTATCACAAGTACACATCATTTCGTTTGTAGTCACTTCATCCATAGGTAAGTCTCAGTACCCGAGTGTTAATATCAGATCATCTAGCGTACTGTCAAGCATCAAAAAACACAATATAACTGGAATTTTGTGAAAAATTTAAATTATACTTACTTCGACGGGTGCTCTACAGAAATCTTCTTTGCGGCATTCACATTTGTCCCTTATTGTCTCTTCTGAAGTTGCACAATCACATTGATCGATGATAGATTCCATTGTTACATATTTTCCACATTCAGAACAAGTTTTATAATTAGATGGCTGAAATGGACACACTTTCTGACTATGAGAACGGTCGCCTTGTTCTCCACATTTATCTTCCTTTCGGCATTCACATTCGTCTTGTATTATCTCTTCTGAAGATCGACAGTCGCAGTTGTCGATTATAGAATCCGATGCCACACATTTTTTACATTCAGAACAAATTTTGTAACTAGGCGGCTGAAACGGGCACTCTTCTTGGCTAGGAGGAGAGACGTTTTGTCCTCTACATTTATCTTCTTTTCGGCAATCGCATTGATTTCTTTTATAATCTAAGGCCACACATTTCCCACATTCGGAACATATTTTATAAATAGATGAGTTACGTGCGCAAACTTTTTGACACGGTAAAGCACCGTTTTGTTCTTCGGTTTTACTATAAGGGCATTCTTGTTTTGGTTGTGAGCCATCTACCCTGTAATGATAATTGCAAGTGAAATTTTTAAATAACTTTATTAACTCTTTTTTTACTTAAGTTTTGTTGTACATGAACCAAGAATTATCCGAGAAACCATAGAAATCGAAAAACACTCGAATTGTCATCATCATCAACATAAAACATCGTACACTCGGAAGTTAAAAAAGAAAGACGAATAACAAGAGAAGAAGCACCAGAAGTTTAGGTGTGGTACCAATTGATGTCAAAAGGAGGGAGCATAAGTTAAGATGGTCTAGCCATGTTGTATTTTTTTTATTTAATGTGTATATAAAAGATTTCTGTAGTACGTTCCTGTTGTTTTTACCAAAAACAATCGAAATAATATTTCAAGTTTTTTTGACGAGATTTTTAAATGCGTATTAACGCTGGAAATATGTTTTTATCTCTGTGTTGCAATGTTAGGTGAAACAACAAGTTTTTTTTGTCGCCAAAGAGGTATTATGTTACATGAAGTCCCCCTAATATTCCGGTTAGAATAATCAATAATGCGTATATTTCTACCGATTCAAAAGTAAATATAGATGTTTTTTGTCTGTGTTTAGATTCAAATATCGAACCTTTTGTTACAAAGTCAGGTAGAACTCCAGTTTAAATACGTGCTATTTTGTTAATTTGTATTATGTAAATTTATGATGCCCCCTGATAAAAAAAGGTTTTATTTGTCTTTCATCGTTAGGATCGAATAACAAGGGGAAGATTGTTTGTTTTAAGTTTGTGGACGACAGGCTAGCTGTAAGACGGAAGGGAAATTTTTTGGCTTGGAATTTGTAAAATGTAACGCGGAAAAGGAGTCGACGATTAGATTTGAAGCAGAGCAGACGTGCTACAATGTGAGTCCAAGAACCTATTTGAAACGGTGGTAGACGCTTTTTGCGGATGTGAAATGTTGGGCCATTTTTGAATCAAAGAGGATTCAATTTCTTTTGAAATGTCTTAGGACCGGTCAATGATAATACTATCAGATTTGAATAAATACCGGAAGCTTCTAAGAAGTATGATATAGGATGTCCCCGTAGTCGGCTTGATTCTTCCACCAAGTTCCTATTCCAACCGTTTTGCCCTGGAGTGTAGAACTAGTTCCTGATGGTTGCTGCCTTCCAGTTTTGAAAGTTTTGTCCGAGTAGCTTCCCCAGAGATGTAAAGTTTCAAAGTGTTTGTACAAAAAAAACATTAAGGTAACAATTCAATATACTAATTTTTCAAAGTAAAGACAGATATTTTTTGGCTAAAGTAATAATTGCTTTCATAACAAACTAACAAATTGTAATATGTATGGTTATGCTATTAATACTTTTGTTCTTTGTCATCAAAATTAAATGTGATACCTGACAGCAAGCTTTAATTTGTTTTTTATTATGACAATTTTAATTTGATTATTATGTAGAAACGATATTTCATATATAAGGTTAAATTTTATTATGTTTTCATTATAACAAGGATCCTTAATTTTTGATAATCTAATTGGCCATAATATAGAAACCATTTGAATTTTTGTAACAATCTTTGATGTAAACTAAGACATGTAAGTTTTGTTTATTTTGTTTTATGATATAGTATGTTTGTTTTGTAACCCATAATTTTGATAACTGTTTGTTAGAGAAAAAAATAAATGTTTAATTTGTTTCTCTGATCTATTTTGAGTTTTATTTGAAAAAGATATTTTTTTTTCTATATTTTTGATGTTCTATAATTATTTCCCTAGTTACAACTAGTGGTTGTAATAGGTATAATTAGGCACCTCAAGTGGCGCCCTATATTAAATTTCTTGAGGTGTTTCCGTTTATTTTCATTCTGTTTGTCCCAAGAGATTTGTATAAGTACCCCTTTTTCTTTTTTTTTTGTAGCTGCCCAATCCAACCCCCAATATCTTCAACTTATCCACGACCCAGCTCTCCAACAACCAACTGAGTGCCGTATGCACTTGTTTCGATTATTTTGTTTGCCCAATCTTGTCCCCCCATATTCCTACCCTGTGGTAAGCAAAATAGTCGTTACAATGTTCAACGTCGAGAAATTAATACGAAGAACTGCTAATCTGCGGGTTCCTGGGGGGAGTAGGAGAAGAAGAGATGTCTGTGAAGGAAATTATAATTGATATGACCCAAGATAGAAATTGATGGAGAAATGTAGGGATAAAAGCAAAGAGAACGAGGAATTCGTTATATCCAAAATTTCATCTTTCACCCAGTTTCTTTTTCTAATAGGAACCGTTGTGATTTGTTTCCTTTCTACAACACAAGTAGCGGGCCAGACATTGTAACTGGCTAAATATGTAGACTTTGATTAAATAATCCTTCATCTAAACAATTTTCAAAGTCGAAATGGTAATAATAATGCTTAATGAATTTAAGGGCACTTTATTTTAATTTGCACTGTTACAAAAAAAAATTATTTACAAAAATATTTTACTAAAACTAAAACTTTTTATTTTTTTAACTTTTTTTTAATTTTATAGCAAAAAGAGATGGCAAATCTCAACGGTTTTTAACGAATTCTAAACGTTCCAACAGTGGGTTCTAAAAACTTATTTTTTCTATACCTTTACGCAGAAACTGAAAATAAACATTATTGACCCAGTTGGTACTAGAAAAAAAATTATGACCAGTTGCGGTAGTTAAAATGATACTTTTTATATTAGATACTGATATAAAGATAAGAGGAGTTTAGATACTGTCATATTAGTAGGTTACGATCACGGGGCTCTAGGCACAGACTCGTCGTCAGTTGTCACTACTTGTTACCAGAGCCATCATTGTTACAAAATGGGTTTTGGATCTTGTTGATCCTTGCAGACATTTTGTTAAAAATTATGTTTAAATAAAAATGTATTTAACACAATAAAATATTATTACTTGGCGCAGCCTAGTGGAAATTAAACGAAAATCATGGAAGCAAGGTTACCAAATCCATTATCGTTTGAAGGCAATATGGCTGAAAATTTTAAACGATTTAAGCAGAGTTTTGAAATATATCTGATGGTATTAGGAAAAAGTGGTAAGTGATGAAGTTAATGTAGCAATTTTACTCAATTTAATTGGAGAAGAAGGCATTGAGATTTATAACAGGTTGGAATTAATAGAGGTCCAACAAGGAAAGCTAGCAGATGTATTGGAAGCATTTGAGTCTCATGTCACCCCTAGAAAAAACGTGGTTTATGAAAGATATTTGTTTTATAAGCGCAGTCATGAAGAAGACGAGCCTTTTGACCACTTTTTAACAGATATAAAAAATAAAGTAAGAAATTGTGAGTTTGGAGTTGAAGCATTTTCATGATAAGAGATAGACTAGTATTGGGCACCGATAGTTAGGATGCACAACAAAGCATGTTAAAAACAATTAATTAGATCTGACTAAAGCTATTAAAATATGTAAAATGCATGAAGTATCCCAAGCTCAAATAAAAGAAGTTCAGAACAGCTTAGAGAAGGTGAAAATTGAATCAATTGGAAGTAAAGTTAAGCAGGGGCATAATTCAATCCAAACACTCAGGGGTGCAAGTTCTTCTAGGGGTGAATTTAACTTCAGAAACTGTGGGAGTGTCCATGGATCAAGGAGGTGTCCAGCATATGGAAAAAAGTGTAGAAAGTGTGGTAAATATGGTCATTTTGATAAAGTGTGTTATCATGGTAGGTTAGTAACAGAGGTACAAGTGAAAGAAAGTGAAAATAATGAAGTAAACTATTTCATGATTTCATCAATCACTGTTAATGAAATTAAGAATAACAATAATAAAGACTGGATGGAAAATTTAAAAATTAATAACGTTGATATACCTTTTAAAATACATACAGGGGCACAGATTAACATTTTACTCAAGGTTTTTGTTGAAAAAGTTTGCAAAATTAGTGAATTAAAAGAAACAAAGGTCATACTTGAGACATATGGTGGTTTTAAGATCATTCTTTTGGGTATAATAAAACTGGTCTGTATATATAAAAATATTGATCATTTATTAGATTTTGTTGTTGTAAAGGAAAGATCAACACCTGTCTTGGATTTTTGTTCTACCATAGAGCTTGATTTAATTAATAAAACTGATAACATAACACTGCATTCTGAAGAAAAATTTGTAGAAATGAATAAGGATATTTTTTCAGGTTTAGATAAATTTCAGAAAAAATGTAGTTTAAAGCTTAAAGAAAATGCAGTGTCAGTGGCTAGGCCACCTTGTACAAAACATCTGGCTAATTGGCTTTGCCAAAGTCATTGTACAATAAAAAAAACACAAAACATATACTTACACAAAAGGAACAACCTATTTGAGCAGGCGTCTCAACGGAAAACGGACCAGACAAAAAACTCGTTTTATTTGAGCTGAGATTGTATCGAAAAAAAAAAAATAATTACCTTTCATCTTCTTGTGGACCATGAGCTAAAGCTGGTTCAACAGGAGGTTCGTGTTGAAGGTCTAGGTCTGGCTCTTCGTATTCGTATGGTTTTTCTGCTTCGTATTCTTCTAGCTCTCTTTGAGTAATATTTATATATTCGTAGAAAGTCTTAAAACAAAGTAGAGTATTATTTTTACATAAAAATAAACATTTTAAACAAAATAATATATATACAGTGTGTCCAATTAAGTCCGCAACATTATATGGGACACTTTTATTTTTGGTTAAATAAAAAAAGTTCTAAAACCTAAACTACAATCATCAAATATTAAATTTTTCAATCATATACGAGGGTTGTCCAAAAAGTATGAACATAAAATTCATATTTTTTTGACAAACCGCGATTATGACTTTAATATCTGATGTTTGTTTTTAGATTTTAGATCATTCCAGACTTTTTATAAAGAATATTTTTTTACAAAACTAAAAATTAAAAAAATTCAAATGGTGCAGACTTCATTGGACCATATGGGAAACTTTTTCATTTTTCCTGGATAGCATGGCCATAAATCCTTCTAATCGACTTTCTATTTTTAATATCAGGATTAATATGTATTGCGTCACGAGCACAATTTGATACAAAATCTGTGAAAAAACTAAAATAAATAAAACTTACATCAAAACACCACATATGCTCCTGTTTGTAGGTCCTATACATAGTTAAGCAAGGACAAGGTTTTGTATGTACAGCATGACTTATCGTAAAATAGTTTTTGTCTTCTTTAGCTGATACACCAGTTATAGCGTACTTAATTCGGCCTACAATTAAAAATGAACAATTGTTATAAGCTAAATAAATTCTGAAGCAGATAAATGAATATTAATAATAACTTTGCAATTAGGTAAAGTTACGTGAATCAGCGGTAAAGTTAAAAAACGCGGTAATTCGTAAAAAATCGTAAAGTCTTTTTCAGTTGATAAGACACATGGCATGATACAGTATTATCTGACAGTTGCCTGTTCTGTGATTTCGATATGTTTACATTAATCAAACATGTCAGCTAAGGCCCAGTTGGCTCACCTCCAGCGGATGGCGTGCGTCGGCATTTCACAAGCTCTTTCCCACAGCGGCTCTTGAGGCCCTGTTGGGTTTACCTGCTCTACATCTTTTTGTAAAGCATAAAGTGATGATGACGGACTATTGGCTCAACTGTTCTGTATATTGGTTCGCAGACCATCGACTGCTATCCTATAGTATAGGACAGGGCAGAACAATTTCCTGACTAGGATGAGAGGGTGAAACAAGAACCTGTACTAATTCACGTGTTTCACAGGTGGGTTTAGAATTGACGAGCGAGCAAGCCCTGCTAGATTATATGATCTATTGATCGGATTCAAGTCAACACAAGCTCTCGGGTCAGTCTTTCAGGTCGAGATCTTTGCAATCTTGGTCTGTGCTTGGATAATACCTAGAGATAATTAATAGGGATTGCTCAGGCAAGACTATCTTTAAATGCTCTGATAGTAAGCGGCTCTAAAGGCTCTGGAAATATCCAAAGTCAGCTGCAAGCTGGTTATTGGGTGCAAGAGAGCATTGGCTGATGTTGGGCTGACCAACAAGATCAACTTGATATGGGTACCGGGCCACAGGTGTAGAAGAGATCGAACAGGCCGATGCCCTGGTATGCACTCTGCCTGGGGAGCTGGGCTTATGATTAGAGTATCCTTTGTACTGCTTGCGGTTATCTCAATGAGCTTATTTTGCGGAGATTCTAGAATATTTGGACTAATAGTGGAAGTATGAGATAGGCTAGGTGAAACAGCGGAGCCATTAAAAAGTCTCAGAGCCCAGTTTCACCTTCTAAACCGTAGGAGATGCTTTCTGGGGGTCAATATGCTTATCGGCCATTGTAGACTCAGGTGGCATCGACATCTGCTTGAATTAACGGATGGCTCAGGGTGCCCTCTATGTGATTACAAGAATGTCTCGCATGTCTTCTGGAAGGTCCCGGCACTGACAACAGAGATGGCATCCCTTGTTAGGCCTTTATACAACCGAACTTGCCTCTAAAGAGAGTTGTCTTTTCTGTAAGACCACAAGTTCTATACGTTCGGAATGGCAGGAAAAGTTCAGATGTGGATTAAATTTGGATATTCTAATAAATATGGGAGACCAGGAACACCGAATACCAGGTCCTTATAAGTCTAGTTCGTATGATAAGGATGATACAATTGATCCGCCTTAGGAGGTCTAAGTGTCTGAAGGACTCACAAATAAGCTCTGTCCTGATCTACCATGACCATTATGAACCATCCTAATAACAGCGAGATGAATCTACTATATTTCATATTTCAATCATTGAAAAGAACGTTATGAATACGAAAGCGGCAGACAAAGGCAAATGGACTTAGGTTTACAGCTAGTAGTGATTTTTCCCACTACAAGAACTGCGAGGACTCCAGCTTTACTTAAGTCCTGAAAGAGGGGCTTTAGTCGAGGACAAAGTTTGGAAATGTTGGTTAGTAGCTGTTAAATAGGCTAATTTTGGCCATGCATGTTATCCTGCACATTTATTTAAAATAAATATGTTAGATTCGGATATTTGTCAAGAATGTCAGATTAAAAGTAACTTAAACCACCTATTTTTTGAATTTTAAAATTATAAACAACCCACCAACAACACATGATACAAATACAAACAGATAAGATACCGCGCATGTGGGTGTGGCTTATGCATGACTTTTGTGACGTCAACTTGTGCTAAATTTCGCCATATTGTGTTTTGACGTTTATGTACATTTACGGTTCATAGCCAATATTTAATAAAATAATATTTTAAAAGTGTTACAAGGCTTTAAATTTTTCCCGATATGAGGTGTGCAGTGTATGGTTGTGCCGTTTACAATATGTGCAAGAGTTTTGTACCCGGTACAGCATTTTATAGCTTTCCAAAAGACAAGGAAATGCAAGCTGTTTGGAAACATTTGTGTAAACGCCAGGATAATTTTAATGTTAAATTTGCTCGTGTTTGCTCTAAGCACTTTGTTGAAAGTGATTGAAGTGATGAATCGGTCATTCAGGTTGGCAAAATATAAAACAGAAGTCAACTATTTTATAAGTTTATAGAAGACGTTTCGCTTTATACTTCTAAAGCTTCATCAGTTCTAACTCAATATGTAGTATTAAAGATTTTATTATATATGTACTTAAGTTTACTCATTATTTAGAACTAACTTAAAAAAAACAGAGAAAAGGACACAAAAACTTTGCAAAAAATAATATTCGCAGAAACGAAGATTTAACAACATTTTAAACGTACATTTGGCTTCATTTAGAGATGGTTCTCCAATGAAGACAAACAAAACACTGGTGAGTGACCCCAACAAAACACCGAAGTACCTGAACGTAACACTAGACAGAACGCTATCATTTAAAGAGCATTTAACAAAAACTGCCCAAAAGTTGAGTACAAGAAATAACATTATACAAAAGCTCTGCGGTACCACCTGGGGAGCATCGGCTTCCACTCTCCGCTCTACTGCTTTAGCACTTGTTTTCTCGACCGCTGAATATTGTGCCCCAGTTTGGCTACACAGTCCACACGTAAAAAAGGTTGACACAGCTACACAGCACTATGAGGATGATAGCTGGTACAATTAAATCAACTCCCACCCAATGGCTTCCAGTATTAAGTCACATTCCACCTCCACATTTACGACGAGTTGACGCACTTACACGTGAATACAAAAAGATCATGAACAATATAAACCTGCCGATCCACCAAGATACCGAGGATGCACGAAATACCCGTCTACGTTCTAGAAAACCACCAATGAGAACGGCAAGAATGATACATGAGAAATTCAACATCACGAATGCATGGTCCCAAGAATGGAATGCATGTCAAAATAACATGCCCTGTATTACCCACAAGCCCCCAGGTTTTGATCTTCCACGTAAAACATGGTCCACTCCAAACAGGATCCGAACCGGACATGGCAGATGTGCATACATGCTACATAAATGGGGAAAGAATCCGTCTCCTTAATGTTAATGTGGGAAGAACCAAACGATCGACCACATTATTGAAGAGTGTCCCTCAAGATCCTAGAACGGTAGCCCTGAAGACTTCCTGTTTGCAACTTCAGAGTCAATTGATTATGTTAATACACTTGATGTTTGTTTGTAATTATTTAAAGTTTGTCATATACCTATATTACTAGTGTTTGTAATTTTGTTCTAAATGTGTTGTAATTGCCATACGATAAATAAATAAATACTTGTTCTGCCCTATTAATGACTGCAACCTCAAAAGAAATAGTTTACCTAACCTGTCAGTCAATAATACCTAACTATTATATATAAAATATATATTGTATGAAAATCACATTCCATAGTTTGCAATTTGTGGCATTCGGCCATGGCTCCCTCCATCAAACTTCACTCTTATGGAAAAATTGTTATTTTTTACAATATACTAATTTAAATACTTAAGCTTAAATTCACGTAGTAAATAAAAGATCTAGTAAATTATATTAGAATTTCAACAGTTCGTTTCATCCGCAAGCATGAATACATTTTGAAAATTTAGCACAAGGTGACGTCATGCGCGTGAGTGTACGAGTTTAGTGCGTGGCAATATCATATCTGGTATCCTTATATCATGCCAACAACATAATTAAAAGAATGATAGACAAGAACATCCCACTTTTTGTTAATATTCTCTTTCTACTATCACTCAATGAAAAGAAAATGTGTGACTGCTTGATAAGCCTTTTGTCTCATAGTAAAGGGTGCCTGTAATTATTTAAATTTGTAACCTATGTTTAAAAAAATAATACAAAAAATATTAATAAAAGGAATATAAAAAAATACTTAAGAAAATAGATTTAAAAAGAAAAAAATAAAAAAAATAACAGTATAGTAAAACAATCACTAAGAGGATCTAAACTTCCGAGGTGTTGAATCGGGTTTATGTCCTAACGTAGTGAAAAAAATATATTACCATATAAAAAAAACCGTATTTATTAACATAGTAGGTAGATATTTTTATTTGTAAGATATATACACTATGTATTTCACATGACGTCTTTCAATAACTGAATAACTGAATTATAAAAGGTATAATACAGTCTTTATTAACATAGTATGTACATTACCTAATTAGGAATAATTATATTATTATTATTATATTAATCATGTTTCACTAATTGACATATTTAAATGCTTTAATAAAGCTCATGTTGATTAAGACTTTCTGAATGACAATTGTCCAAGCCAAGAGAAACAAAAATAGTCAAATAAATACTAGAAAAAACCTGATATTCGATAAAAAATACGAGTAACCCGTACCTAATCGTTTAATTATATAAATAACAATTTTTTTTTAAATGTACCTGTATTAGGTTGCTGGGGCATTCGTCTTTTAGCTTCCTCTTCTTCTTTCAGATGATCTGTAATACAAGTACACGAAATTTCTTTTTGGACACCTTGGTTGAAGTAAACTGGACCATATTTAGTTCTTGCAACACCTCCAATGCAATATTTGTCGTCCTGGTATTTCATTTGGAGTCTGGCTTTGACTCTTTGTCTGTACTCCTGGAAAGTAAGTACATAATACTCGGATGTATTGTAACAATATATTTTGCCTATCTCAGGGTAAGATTATGGGGGAACGATAGGGCAAGCAAAATAAACGCTACTTGTGCGAACGGCACTCAGGGTTTGTTAGGAGAGCTGGGGTCGTGGAAAAGTAAAAGATAAGGGGGTTGGATTGGGGCAATTACCAAAAAAATGGAACAAAGGGTCATGAATCTCTTGGGACAAATAAAACAAAAAGAAACAGGAAACACCTCTAGTAATTTAATATAGGGCGCCACTTCGAGGTGTCTAATTATACCTATTACAACCACTAGTTGTAAGTAGGGAAATAATTATTAAACATAAAAAACATATATTTTTCAAATAAAACTCAAAAAACGGTTAGTTTAAAAAAAATAAACAAAATGTCAAGAAACAAAATTTAACATTTATTGGTGTCTTACCACAAACAGTTATAAAAATAATGGCACACATTTACATATAGATTAATAGTTACAGAGAACAAGAATAACAAAAAAACTTACATGTGTCCTAGCTCTTTACAAACTCTGTTGCTACAAAACTTACAAAATTGCATGGAGGTTAACCTTCTTTAAAAATAAAACAAACTAAAATCAAATAATAATAAAATGAGCTGTCATAAGTTAACAATGAATTTAAAGAAAAACTGAACACACACATTGACAGCTAAAGTCAAACCCTAAAATTTTATAATTTATTAATTATTATAAATCCTTTAAATTTTAATGAAAGCAATATTTAAAAAAAAATGTCTACTTTACTTTAAATATTTACACAAAAGTTACCTGGACTGCACTGGATTTTACACTACAATTCTTGAACTAAACAAACTGTTTCAGGAACAAAACAGGAACAGCGAGATTAAAGAAGCACTTCAACTGGAAACAAACTGGAACATCAGAATTGCTGCAGGCGACACAAATCTCTTAAATACTTTTTTAACCTCTGTAACTAGACATACTTCACAATTTACTTTTCACTGCTACATATTTCTATAAAAAGGGGCCAAAAACAGAAAACTACAAATTCGACGAATGAATTTGGATCCATATCTGAGCCTACAGCTACCCAAGTAAGAATGACGAAAAAATTATCTTAAAAATTCGTTCACATAACTTGAAAATAAACAAAACGCTGAAATAAACAAAACACAACGAAAATTAAGACGTAGATTATTAATTTGAAAACGCAGAATCGGGCGGTTTAACGATCAAAGGAATATCTAAGAATTTGCACCTGTGACATAAACAAACAATAAAATGATTTATTATCGACTTGGCGGCGTGAAAAGAACGAAAATGATTTGGGTTTTAAATTGAAAGATAGGAACTAAGAAACATGGGAAAAGATTTCTTCGTTATTTTAATACATATATGACGGGATTTCAATTTAATACATATACGAGGGGATTTCAATATATTTTAAAGAATTTATATATTAAACGATTTGTAATCAAACAATATCAAAAGGACAAAAAAGAAAATGATATTACATGACTGAATTAACGGAATTATCTCGAATATTAATAAAGACCGGTTATGGTTATGGGTAGTTAGTATAAGCTGTATTTTATAGAATATGATGAAGCATTGTCCTGAAGCTGTTTTCTCGTAGCATTTTAATATTATTTCCACTTCGGAGATCGTTCTCAAATTATAAAATAATTATTATAACAGTATCTAAAAATAAAATTGACATACTGATCAGAAACCTCCAAAAGAGAAACTGAACGTAATGTGAAGTCGGTCCTGACAAAGCGAATATCTGGCGTTCGAAGGAGCATCATTCATCGGAGGACCTTCGAATATTGTAATAATATTCTAGATCTACACATTTCTACGGAGTCCAAAACCAGTTCACAAAATATGTAAATATTTAACGAATTTAGATTTAGTCTGACTCTGAAATAAATATTTTATCGCAAAGTCGAAACAATTAATTTATATTGTATAGCTGGACAAATTTTGAAAGAAGTCAAACATCAAATTGGGCTTCAGGTTATCCTGGATGATAACAATATCTATTTTTCAAAACTCGGTTGGTTATTTTTTACTTAAAATGACTTACTAGGAACCTATTATCAAATTTATTGACAAATAAAACAGCTTCTAACAAACCGGTGACTAACTAACTCACTATACAAAGACATCTACATGACATTTTGGATCTTAAATCACTTTTTTTTAACCAAAACAAATCGAATTAAGCCAAAATTTGCCGGTTTTTCAAACTAACCGAAAACCATGTTTCCTCTTCAGACCCCAATTTGTTCTCTTCGACTTCGACTCTCCGATGACAAAATTCTTCATGACTTCACAATGAAATAGACCGCTCTCGCGGCCGGTCAATCGAGGAGTGACCTCCTCGTGAAGACTGCAAATAAAAATAAAATCACGATACAGTTAAAAAAAGGAGAACAGTCCAGTTAAATCAAAATTTTATTTTTGTTGATTTTTATTCAGTGCAGTTGTGCCAGCTATTTTACCAGGATGTACGATGAAGGAAACACTTTATTATGCAGTTAATAAAAGTGCAAAAACTTCATTGATTTTGACATTTAATTATAGTACCTATTAATAAACTATACTTCATCTAATTTAGATAACGACTTACGTCATTATCTACGTCAGAGATCGAAGTTGACATAGTTGCCAAAGTATAAAAAAATCCTGACTCCATTTTAAATCAAATTGGTCACATAATTATTGCAAAAGTATTACCATCTCTTTACAATGACTATTTAAATTCTTACGTGACATTTTTGAAATAAAACACACTAATTTTGTTCTAAAAAGAACAGATTTTATTAAATAGGTAAAAATATAAAACAAGAGGTATTCACTTTAAAATTTAAAATAATAAAGTACAAAAAGTGTCAACACCGCAACTGTCAAATAAGTGTTACCAATTTATGCCAAAATTTTACCTTCGTTCGATTACAGTTACAGTGTGTTCCGAACAAATGTTCTTGATAAAAGCTCTTTATAATGGATTTATACAAATTAAATGAAACATATTATTGCGTATTTCTTTAAGTTATTAACATTAATAGAAATTTTTAAATATTATTTCAACGCGTATATAATAAAATATGTCTAGTGGCTGTAATGCCAGTGTACTCGGTAAAGTGATTCTAAAAAGAACACACCTAAACCCTAAATATTTCGTGTTGGTATCATATGACATCACAGGCTATGACGCCGATGACGTGCATCGTTATATAAATTAGATGAAGTGTACCTGATTTTGTTTATACGTAAAGATTCATACATTACCTCCATCTTTTTAATTTTTTCCATATGTTGATGAAGACAATCGCACTGTTTTTGTTGAATGCCTCCGATGTTTACGATATTTTCCACGACTCCATCTTGATCTGTATTGGATACACCCGATACGATATACGTCGCTTCTTTGCGCCTCTTATCTTCTAAGCATTGTGGACACGTGCACTGTTTCGTAGTAAAATCTTCAAAAGCTTTCTTACATGTACAATCTGCCGTTTCCCAAGGCATAGTCTTGTCTACATCTTCAGGTTCTTCTTTAGTTTCTTCTGGTTCATCGTTTTTCTCTAGTTCTAGAAAATATGCGAATTTAAGTTGTTATAATGAGACACAAGTCACTGTAGAACAATGTAATAATTCTTGTAGGCTCCAATACAGCTAATTCGTATATATTTTTGATTGCTAAAACTACATGATGAATCTTGGCACACCTATTGACAACTGAAAAATAAATCGTTTTTCAGCTGTTAGTATGTATGTAGCATATATACATACAGCCTAATAACAACTGGTTAAGACGTGATAACCTACTAACAGCCAGGATAGTAAGTTTCTTATTGTTTATATTGTGTTAGTGCGACAAAATTTTTGTTACTGTGAGTTTGTAACGAAATATTTTGCCTACCACATAATGTATTACTATAAAGGGTTGAAAATTTGTATAGATTGTATAGAAAATACCCATGATCAGTTGTGGTAGTAAAAACGATAACTTTTTATATTGAGAAGTGGAGAATTGGCGGTAAAATAATAATGAAGCGTGTTTAGATTCCAAAATAAACAACTTGTTTTAGCGGTAGTCTCAACGGAAAACGAATGAGACAAAAACTCGTTTTATTTGAGCTGAAATATATCGAAAATAAATAGAATATATTTTCGTGTTTTACTAATAATGAGGGATTATTGGTGATATATTAAGATTAACCCTATCAATGTTCAAAAATAACTTCTATATCATAGAAGATAGAGCTAATAAAATAATGTCTTTATCGTATTGGTTTTTATAAACCCAAAATTAGTAAGATTTGGGTAATAAAGTAACGGAAAGATCTAAAAAAAATTGTGAAGCAATGTATTTGACAAAATCTACTGATAACAAATGGACCACAGGAGTGATGACGTAGATTTTATTGACATCTGTCAGTTTCACTTTCCAAACAAACCTTGTTTAGTGTAGATACTTTGTATTTTTAGTTATTTTTTCATTTATTTTATAGAATCTTTCCGCTTTTTGTAATATTTAAGTATTCTAATAGTTACTACAACAATTTTACAAGGTTGTGTAAATAATAAAGCACATTGTTTTATGCTAATAGCAATAAAATGCATGTATCAATAAAGTAAGGTTAGTATTTCTTTAATTTAAACTTTTAAACTATATTTCATAGAAATAGAACTCATAATTATCGTAAAAAATACTATGCTTACAAGAAAACGCAGCAGAGGAAGCAAAATGTTAACTTTATAGATATTAAAAAGTCTTGAGATTTGACATTTCAACTTTTGTTTGGAAAGTAATAATGACAATGTGACAGTCGTGACGTCACACTCCTGCGGTCCATGTAAATAATTACTTTCTTGACTGCTCTCTTTAGAATGGTCCACGCAGCATTCGTCCGTGTAAGATTTTGTTTCTTTTGGTTCTCCGCAAGTGCATACATCTTCCTTAGACTCTTCCTTCTCCATTTTATATTCTAGTTCTTTCTTGTTAAGCAGAGAGTTTATTATAAACGAAGGCCCCTGTGAAGTAATAGCGACGCCCCCTATGGAATATGTCTCAGGTTTGCAAGACAACTTATTACCTTAAATAAAAATATTGTGGTAGATCAATAAATAACAAAAGTGCTGTCGAATAGGTACCTGCTGCTATCGCTGACAGTTGGTCCTTAAACCGAGCCAAGCACTTACATTCCCTGTCCTTAAAAATCCCTTGGATAATCGGTAGCATATTTCCATCGTACTGTGCGAGACCTCCCACCATGTTGTTGGTGGTTCGCTTTAAGATCATTAGACACCTGTTACATAAGGCCTTCAAAAACAAGTTGGTGTTTTCCTTGCAAACGCATACGGTGTTGCGGTCTTTGTTACATTCGCAAGTGTGGAAATCTGTACAGCCTAAAACAAGTTGGTATTTCTATTTATTTACACTATAAAATATGGATGAGGGGACACATGTGGAGAAATTTCAAAAAAAAAATTATAACGCAAAATGGGATTCATTATAAAGTATCGGCTTCTTCAACGTAAGATTCACATATTTGTGAGTCTTTGGGTACATTTAAATTTGGCAATAATTAAATTATTTAAGACACGTGCATTAAATTCCAAGAAGATGTAATCAAAGGAGGGGAGGAGAGGAAGTGCTTAAAAGCCACAGGACTGAACAGTGAAAGTGATAAAGAGGCCTATAAAGCGCTGAACGGTCAAATAAAATGACTCTGCAAAAAGGACAAGAACACAAACTTGAACAAAATCTGCATGGAAATAGAAGGGCATAAAACCAAAACTGAGACCAGAGACATGTTTAAAAAAATAAAGCAGATAACACGTTCCTTTACACCAAACTACCCTGCTATCAAAGATGATAACGGAACTCTACTCACTTCTAAAAAAGATATTTTACACAGATGGAAAGAACACTGTGGACGACTGATGATGGAGGAAAGCACAGACGCCCCATCACAACAAGAAGATGCCAGTTTTGCGACGGAACCTGACGTACTCAAAAGTGAAGTTGAAGCAGCAATTATGAGGCAAAAAAGTCAAAAAGCTGCCGGTCCAGATATCATACCTATTGAAATGATTTGGGCCCTAGATGACGTTGGAGTGGATATAATACATCAAATTTGTCAAAGAGTGTGGGAGACAGGTAAATGGCCTGAGGACTGGACACAATCACTATATATTCCCATACATAAAAAGGGAGCGAAAGATTTATGTAGCAACTATCGCACAATTGCTCTAATTGCGCATTGCAGTAAGATACTCTTACACATAATTCTCGAGAGGATAAAGCCCTTTTTACTACCTAACATTGCGGAGGAACAAGCAGGTTTCGTCCCAGGACGTGATACTAGAGAACAAATTTTAAACGTACGGCAGATTGTAGAAAAATCCAGAGAATTCAACATCACAACATATTTGTGCTTCATAGATTATAGTAAAGCTTTCGATTTGGTCAACTGGAGTAAAATGTGGCAGGTTTTGTCTGAAATGGGAGTCCCTAATCATCTGATACTGCTAATTAAAAGCCTGTACAATAACAATTATGCCAGAGTTAGAATAAATGGGGAACTTACTGACAGTTTCAGGGTCACAAAAGGCGTGAGACAAGGCTGCATACTAAGCCCAATTTTATTTAACATCTATGGTGAATGGATAATGCGGAAAGCTACTGAGGACTGGGACGGTGGCATCACCATTGGCGGGAAGAAGATTTGCAACTTGAGATATGCAGATGATACTACTATCCTCGCTAGTTTTGAAACTGAATTGATTCACCTGCTACTACGGATAGAAGACGTAAGCTTAACGATGGGCCTTAAAATAAACAGGGATAAAACGAGAATCATGATAATTGACAGAGCTAACAACAGTCAAAATCATCTGGTTAGGATAAACAATATCGCTGTTGTAGATAAATTTGTGTATCTGGGTTCATTAATAACCAACAACGGAGGCTGTACTGAAGAAATAAAGCGGTGGTCAGCAATCGCAAAAAGCGCTATGGCAAAATTAACAAAAATTTTGAAAAGCCATGAAATTACTACCGATACAAAAATGAGACTAGTAAGAAGTCTAGTTTTTCCAGTTTTTACTTATGCATCGGAATGCTGGTCCCTTACTGAGAAAGACAAAAAGAACATAGATGTATTTGAGATGTACTGCTGGAGACGAATGCTGAGAATACCATGGGTGGCCCGAAGAACAAATGAATCCATACTGGTCCAGCTAAACATAAAGAAAAGACTAAGAACACAAATAACAGAACAGATAATAAGCTATTTTGGACATGTGCTTCGAAGAAATGGTCTTGAAAAACTTACCATCCAGGGAAAAGTAGAAGGCAAAAGAAGTAGAGGTAGATCTCCTACACGATACACGGACCATATTGTTGCTACCATTGGCGCTCCATTGTCAGAATGTGCTAGATTGGCAGAAGATAGAAAAACGTGGAGGAACATTGGAAAAATTACCTAACAGCTTCATGATATCACGATACCTGCATCAGGTTAACGACTAAGAAGAAGATGTAATCAGTCCCGATGTGACCCTAAGGGCGGTACATATGGACAAGACAATATTTTCTAGGTACCACATATGGACACAGGTTTTGATTTAAATAAAATAATAAAAAAATTTATAAGTGCAATTTTTAATATTTATTTAAGATAATACATTGAATTATCCCACATTATACCCATGAAAATTAATGGAAAACCTAAAAAAGGAGCTGGATCCTGCTGTCTCAAATTTTTTTTTTTTTTCAGGAGATGGCAATTTTCTCATAATATCATTTGTAGAAATATGACTCTCATCCTTCTGATGTGTCATCTGTAAAAAAATTACTAAAAATTCTGACTCTTCTAGTTCCTTTTCGATCTGACCAACAAAGAATTTGAGTGTTTTTTTTGTAGCAAATTTAATGAGAACAAAATCACCTTTCTAGATATTCGTAAGATTCAATCCAAAATATTTACCATCTTACTCAACTTGTATAAGACTATAATTTGTTTCTTCACAATAATTCTCATTGTCGCTTTCTTATGTCTCCTCATCAAAAACTTTGCTAATATGGGATTTGTATTTGGATTTTTTGCATCTTTTTACCGTTTTAAATTTTACATTTTCGGCAAAATTTAGCTTGTTCGTTTGATTTATAGAGGTTCAGTGTCATTTTCGTCTCCGATGACTGGAGTATTCCACTATAATACACATTAGACCTAAAACTAAAAACGCGTCGCATTTTCGTCCGTAAATACAAATACTCAGTATGACTGCCGAATTTCTAGAATAGAAAAGGGAATTCAAAGACCATAAAAAAAAACTTAAGAATTTTCACTCAGAATATGAATGTTTATATGAAGTGTTACTTACATTCCCCACCGTCTGGTTTTTCGACTTCACTGCAAGTACACGGAGGCAACGTATCTTCTAATGGAAACAGCGATGGCAACTTGACGGGTCTACAATCTCGGGATCTATTCAAAAAATCCATACATTCTACTTTTATAGTTGGAGGTACCAAACCTTTCCATGTACCATGCTCTTGGAGGTCGTTATACTTTTTCTCGGCCGCTTGGTGCTCTCGTAAAAGCTCTTTTTCTTCTAAAAAGAATAAAATACCTACATGATATTGTACAATAGAGTTGCACTACTTGTTTAAACCATAGACGTATATATTCTAACATAGACCAAGCATAATAGATGGACAAAGCGGATACTGGAATGGAGGTCAAGAGATGATGCCTACCGAAGCAGAGGTCGTCCACCAACACGTTGGACTGACAATCTAAAACGTTGTCAAAGGAATTGGATGCAAGAGGCACAAGATCGAAATAGATGGAAAATTATGAGGGAGATCTATGTCCAGCAGTGGATAAACGAAGATTGAATGATGATGATGATGATGATGAGACCAAGCATACCGACTGCGCGTACTGACGACAAGATCTCTTGCGGTTGTTTGAACTGTCTCTCTCTCTCTCTCTCTCTCTCTCTCTCTCCCTCCCTGTCAAAAAGATACGATAGCTATACTTACTTAATGTACGACAAAGATACAACGAATAACGAAAAAAAAATTGGTGTCTTCACTTACCTTCACAGACTGCTCAGTCTATGTTAATATATACGTCTATGATTTAAATACTATAGTATCTGAACATTATTTATTTATTTATCGTATGGCACTTGACACATTTACATTTAAATTTACACATAATTTGTATAAAACATAATAAATATAAATCAAAAGACTGATATTTTTTGTACACACTTATGACAAGTCAAAAGAAAATGTAGAAAGTATTTTTGAAGTGTGTATATTTTAAGCAATTCCTAGCTGAGCGCTTTCGGCTTTACAAAGCCATCATCAGAGCTATGGTCAATTTATAAATACCACTACAATGGAGAGATCTCATTTCCTTATATGTCGAAATTATGATTTTTTAGTTGTTGAAATTCTTAAAAAACATATAAAAAACATATAAAAAACCGACACTGGACTTCACAGACACGTTAAAAAAATTGAAAAAGTTTTTGTCATGGTACGGGTGTAAGAACCCGACCGGGGTACATCAATCAATGGTCGGGTTCTTACACCCGTACCATGACAAAAACTTTTTCAATTTTTTTAACGTGTCTGTGAAGTCCAGTGTCGGTTTTTTATATGTTTTTTAAGAATTTCAACAACTAAAAAATCATAATTTCGACATATAAGGAAATGAGATCTCTCCATTGTAGTGGTATTTATAAATTGACCATAGCTCTGATGATGGCTTTGTAAAGCCGAAAGCGCTCAGCTAGGAATTGCTTAAAATATACACACTTCAAAAATACTTTCTACATTTTCTTTTGGCTCATAATAAATATATGTTTACAAACGGACATCTAACTTATTTATATATTCTATCGACTCTGGAGTCGCCATTAGGAAATCCTCTGACCTGCCTTGGTAGGATCTTGTGGGACACTGTTCTGTGATGTGACAGATGGTTTGTGGTTGTCCGCAGTCACAGAGTGGGGATGGTCGTTTACCCCATTTGTGCATCATATAACCGCATCTGCCATGTTTGGTTCTGATTCGGTTCAACATAGTCCATGTGTTGCGTGATAAGTCCAAAGCTGGTGGTTTTTGTGTGATGCAGGGTAAGCTGCTATTTGGTTGTTCCATCGATTCTCGAGTCCAAGTGGTCGTTAAGTTGAACTCATTTTCCACTGCGATCTGTGCTGTTTTTATTGGCGGTCGCCTGGAGCGCAAACGGTTACAGTTGGCAGCATCTATATCTTGATGAATTGGCAGGATCTCGTTGCCAAGTATCTTTTGGTACTCACTAGTGAGAGAGTGTATACGCCGTAGTCTGGGTGGTGGAATGTGGCTCAGGACTGGAAGCCATTGCGTAGGGGTGGATTTGATAACACCAGCAATCATTCTCATTGTGTTATTCAATTGGGCATCTACTTTGTGTGTATGTGGGCTATTAAGCCAGGCTGAAGAGCAGTATTCCGCGGTTGAAAAAACAAGGCCCAGGGCAGATGATCGCAAGGTGGAAGCCGATGCTCCCCATGTTGTGCCGCACAGCTTCTGGATGATGTTGTTTCTGGATTTAAGTTTTTGGGCTGTTTTTGACAGATGTTCCTTGAAAGATAGAGTTCTATCAAGAGTCACCCCAAGGTACTTTGGTGTTTTATTGTAGACCGGTGTGGTGTTTTCGAATTGGACGTTCAGTGTTCTTCCTGCAAGCTTGTTAGTTAGGTGAAAACTGAAAAGCTCTGTTTTGGTAGCGTTTGGTTGGAGCCTCCAGTGTGTAAGTCTGCCGTAAGAATTTCTTCTGTTTGTTTAATTGACTTACACCTTGTTGCAAGGACCCAGTCCTCGGCGTAACCAAACTTCCTTGATCTGGTTTCTGGTATATTAGCGATGTACAGGCTAAAGAGAAGAGGAGCTAGGACAGATCCCTGAGTCAGTCCATTAAATACCCAATTAGGCAGATAGTTTCTCTTCATTTGAGATTGATCAGTTAATTTTCGATAAATCGATATAACTTTTGCCCCTTTCTCAAATACTTAGCTTGCTTCTATTGCTTAGAAATAGATTACTATCGTTTTGGCTAGCTTTTAACTACCAAAAACTATTTCTAATCAACTAGTTCTGGCTGTTTTTTTTTTCTTCCATATCGTGTCATGGTACTTCGCCATAGAATGTTAAGTTTGTATACAGGATTGGTACAATTGAACGGACATTTCTTCAACAAATTAGGATGGCGATCTTGCTACCATTTAGTGCGTACTAAGTCTTGTAATTACTTCCAATCCGAAGGACCACCCACTGGTGTGAGAAATAAGAACACGAGCAGTTCAAATAATGTGTAATTTAATAATTGAATATTACTACAACTTATCACTTCAACTAAGGACGTTTTCTTCTATATGAATATACTTGATTGATGCTGAGCGTTCAGCTTTTAACTATAAGCTGTGAAACAATAACTAATATGCGAGAGATAAACTCTAAACAAGGAATGTGTCCAATTTGATCGAATACGAAACTAAACACCAAATAATATGCGAGAGCGACCAGCTAAGCTGGGATACAATGTTATACTAACTCAATTACATACTAAAACAAGTAAGAAAAACAATAATTCTTCCCTTTTTGGAGTTAAATCGTATTTTGACGGGGATCAGCTGAACCGTTCTGAAAACAGAAGAAGTTCTGTTTTCTTGCCAGCCTGTCTTTCGGCACCTACGTTAACTCGCTTCAGAAGCACAGTCAAACCAGGTTTAGCAGGCGGTTAAGTATCAATTCGCCATATATTTATATTATTAACCTAACTCAAACCTAACCTAACATTATGTAATCATGTTGGTGATATAGAAAGTTAAATAATATCAGTAATTTAGTAATCATGAAAAAGTAATAAAATAATTAACCAACCTGAATCATCTATTCCATTTACATCGATATCTAGCACACTCTCCGCATTTTTTATTTCATCCCTCTACAAATAAAAAAATGTTACTTTAAGGTATAGCAAGTCGTGGCATATAGCATATTTCTGTATCTTTGCTGTGTATTTTTCTAAAACTGTTTTCCTATGGCTTTCCTGTGCCATCGACTATATATTATAATGGAAAATAAATCACAATTTTCGATTTATATCTCAGAAATTTTTTATGGGCAAAGATTGTAAATTTCATACAAATCACATTTAGAAGAGATAGTTTTTAAGTTATACTATAAATGTCTGTCCTTTTACTCACCAAAGCATCCAAATAAGAAAAATACGGACTTTGCGGATATTGAATATGCTTATTCTCGTACTTTCCACTAAATTTTGGGGGATCTGGCTTGAAAGTATACGGTTCCAAATAAGGAGATGCATAATGTATCTTCGGGGGAACAGAATAAATACAATCTCCTTGTTTTGTTTTTCTCCCTTTACATGGCATACAAACAGGAGTGCATGGTTTTCGGGGTGGGGACGGTAACCTGACGTGGCATTCTCGGAGGGTTTCGATGATGGTTAAGTGAACTACTGCCGATAGAAGAAGTCTGGAATCATATATTATGTAAAAACTTGTTGTGCAAATGGCTGCATTGTATTTCAGTTGCATAAAATGCCTCCACTACATATCGGCAGACGCGTCTGCGGACGCATCTGCAAATGTATCAATGTATCATCACAAGCTGACCACACATCTGAACACATCTGTAAATCGTTCAGTCTGTGTTAATTCCCGGGAGACGCAATATCTACGCAAGCATTAAAAAACTGGATGTTGATGTTGAGACCATAGCTGCCGCAACTATATGCCTTATATATTTAAAACGTTCAACTACCATTTGAGTGTATATCGGAATAGAATCATTAAAAAATGGAAAAGAAGAAGTCAGAGGTCAAATGTGTGGACAGGCGTCGGACGTCCGCACCGAAACCCCTTGATCTGTTCTAAAAAAACCGACAACAATCGGATATCTAGCAGACGCATCCGCGGACGTGATATATAATTAATAGATGATCAAATTACCCCATCTACACAATTCCAGATGCATACGTAGATGTCGTCCGCGGACGCATCTGTCGATGTGTAGAGGAGCAATTAGACCAGTGCGGATCTGTTTTGAGGTGGATGAGAGAGGTAGTATTCGCATTTTTGCAGAAATAGTTTGGTGAGTGTTATATCAGTAGGTTATGAATACGATCACGGGGCTCTAGGCACAATGGATGGGGACTCGTTGTCAGTTGTCACTACTTGTCAGGGCATCATTGATAGAACATGGGATTTTGGATATTGTTGATTCTTGCAGACATTTGTTAAGAAATATGTTAAAATAAATGCATTGAACACAATGAAATATTATTACTTGGCGCAGCCAGTAGTATTTTAAACGAAAATCATGGAAACAACGAGACCACATCCATTGTGCCTAGAGCCTCGTGACCGTAATCATAACCTACTGATACGACAGTGATAACTTCAGTAATAATAATTAACTTATCCTCCCTCTCACGCTTGATGGTGTAATGAAATAATAGTGAAATGATGAAAACGAAAATTGTAGTAGTTTGGATATTATATATTACAAGAAATAATCAGAGATATAGTTTACTTTAGTTCGTTATTGAAGTGTAAGTGTTTAATAAGAGAATCCCGAACAGACGACATATAAGAACTTAATTCGATGCGACGACTACTTTGAGGAGCCATAAACGAATTATTAATAGACGTGATGACGCCTTATACAAACGAATGAAGTATTCTGGGAATAAGCGAAATGCGTTGGCCAGGTTCAGGAACCCCAAATATCGGGGAACACCGCGTTTACTATTCTGGAACAGATAACGGCAAACATGAATTGGATGTCGTCATTATATTGACAAAAGAAGTAGCAAAATCTGTTGACAACTTCATCCCAATCTCAGGGTGTATGCACCTACAACAGAAGGAACAGAAGAAGAGGTAGAAGAACTATACCATAGCATTAGTCAAGTCGTGAAAAGGTTGAAAAAGCAAGACCTAATAATTGTCATAGGTGAGTTCAACGCCAAAGTTGGGGCCAGCAAAACATCATCTGCAGTTGGGTCATTTGGACTAGGAAACCGGAACGATGGGGAGATACATTGAAGATTTTTGAGGAAGAAAATAAATTAAGTAATAATGAACACCTGGTTTAAGCTATACCTAAGGAAATTGTACACCTGGAACTCTCCACAGAATTCTGTGGGAAGGATTGTAAGAAATCAGATTGATTACATACTAGTAAATAAGAGGTATAGGAACAGCTGTGCATTTGTCAAAACATACCCGGAGGCAGATATAAATTCTAATCATGTACCAGTTGTAAGTAATTTGAAAGCCAGAATGAAGAATGTTACAAGTAAGTCGATGGAGAAGTATGATGTTAAAAAACTTAAAGATCCCAATGTTCAACTGAAAGTGAGTGAAAACCTCAATACAAAGGTGCTAAAATGCAGACATACAGAAACTATAGAGGAAAGTCTGACCATTATACAAGAAACAGTGAGAGAAATAAAAAGAACAACACCTGAAGAAAAATACAGAAAACCTTAAATCGTGGGTGACCGATGAAATATTTGAACTTATGGATCAGAGAAAAAAAACAAAGAAAATCTCCAAAAATATAAGAGAATATATACCATCGTCAGAAGAAAGATAAGAGAAGCCAAAGAGAAACAAAAAATAGAACAATGTCAAGCAGGAGAAGGAGTATCAGAGTCTATATGATAACTTCAATGTCCATCGAAAGAAAAGTTCCGAAAACGCAACAGCGGAAAAATAACAGATGATGAAGGCAATCTTGCCATTATCAAAGAAAATAAAAAGGAAACAAAAATAAGGCTCCTTAAATGTTACGTATACTCAGTGCTTCTGTACAGAGTACAAACGTGTACATTAAAGGCGAAAACTATCAAAACTTCAGACTTTTGAGCTATGGTTATAGAGAAGAATCCTGAAAATACCATAGACAGACAAAGTCACCAACGAAGAACATCGTGATGGGCCGTAAGCTGCAGTAATTAGGACATATAATGAGAAATCAAGGCAGATATGAGCTATTTCAATACATTTTGCAAGGTAAAATGAAAGTAAAAAGGGCCCCATAACGAAGAAGAATATCCTGGCTTGCTAACCTGAGAGCATGGTATAGAAAGACCACAACACAGCTATTCCGTATAGCAACCAACAAAGTCATCATAGCCAGAATGATCGCCAACGTTCTGGACAGGCACCCTAAGAAAAAGAAGTGATGACGCCAATTATTACCTGTCATTGATGGAATAACATCTTCGTCTGGGATTCATAACTTGATACAAAATCAGCAAAAACTCATAATCAACAGCACAGCAGAACTCCAGAGCTATCTTTAACATTTTCTCGTTCGGTCGAAAGTACAGCCCAAATTCCGCCATGTTTCCCTTAACGTTCTCGATTGTATTTCCCTTCAGATCTTTAAGTATGCATTCCTGCAGATTGTCGATCGTTCTCAATTGAGCAGGGGATAGTTCTTGAAACCATGGCGGTCCAGCCATTGAGGTCAAAAGATTGTGCATGTGATCAACTGAAATTTAAACGTTAATTGTAAAAGACGACAAGCTGGGGACCTGGTAGGTAAATCTAATTTGAGGACGCTCAATTTATTAGTAGTAACTATATATGATTTCTTCTATTTCTTTCATGGTGGGAGTCTCCATTGTTGCCACCGTGCCGTTGACTTCCCTACAATTTCCACTTGCCTCTCATCATTTTCATCAGGTTCTTCATTAAGCAACTCTCTGAAATGCTCTGCTTATCTCGTATTAGATGCCCTTATTTAATCTTCTAGTAATTCTGTGTTCTTTCGCCTTGGTTACTACTCCTTTTCACCTCCTGATAGAAGTTTCTCACATTTTTATTACATTTTTTATCTACACACTTTTTCGAGTACCTTCTCCGTGCTTCATATTCATTTCTATTTTCCTCATTTAGTTTGTCCATATATTTTAGTCTTGCCTTGTTTGTTTGTTATGGCTTTTCTTACAATCGACAGCAAGCCATCCATTATCTCTCCCCTTCTTTACTTGACTTAGCCGCTTTTGAGCTGCTTCCTTCACAGCTTCTTCTATTATTCCTCACTTCATTTCGATGTCATCTTGATTTTCGCTTTGAAGTAGTTTTGCTGTCAGGTCTGCCTTGAAATTGTTCGCACTGTGTTTGTTCCTTTGTTTGATGACGTCATAGTCTTAGTTTCGTGATCATTAGTATGTGATCGGAATCCACGTCTGTCCCCTATTCTTCTTCTTCTTCTTAAAGTGCCCTCTCCTCAATGGAGGTTGGCTACTACAATTTTAAACTCTTCTCTATCTTCAGCTGTTCTTATTAGCTGTTCAAAATTTAGCCCTGTCCATTGTCGGATGTTTCTGAGCCATGATAGTCTTTTCCTTCCTAGGCCTCTCTTTCCCTCGATTTTTCCTTTCACTATAAGTTAGGCATATTAGTACTTATTATTTCTCAGTATGTGGCCTAGGTATGATGTTTTTCTTACTTTTACTGTGTTAAAAAGTTCTCTTTCCTTGCCTATTCTATGCAGCACTTCTTCGTTTGAGGTATGCGATGTCCATGAAATTTTGAGTATTCTCCGGTAGATCCACATTTCAAAGGCCTCCAATTTATTTACGGTTGATGTTTTAAGGGTCCACGTTTCAATTGCATATAGAAGAGTCGACCAGACGTAGCATTTTGATAAACGTAGTCGAATTTCGAGTTTTATTCGAGAATCACAAAGCAGTTTTTTTTATTTTTTCGAAAGATTTTCTAGCCTATTCTATTCTCGATCTTATTTCTTGATCAGGATTTAGGCTGCTATCGATCCAACATCCCAGGTACTTAAATCTATTGACCTGTTCTAAGATGTGCCCATTTATTGTGCAAGGTTGAGGTACGTTTTGGTTTTTTCGGATTGACATCACTTTGGTTTTTTTAATGTTTATTTTCATACCAAATTGCTCACAGGTCGAGTTGGTCTTGTCGATGAGTCGTTGTAGACCTGAGTCGGAATCCGCAATTAACACTGTATCATCGGCGTATCTGATACTGTTGATATTTACGCCATTCACCTTGACTCCATCCTTGGAGTCCTCCAATGCTTCTTTAAATAGAAACTCGGAGTATCGATTAAACAGCAGAGGCGACAGAACACATCCCTGTCTAACTCTAATTTGACTTCTTGCAAATATATAACTATAACTTCTAACATCTGATATTAATTTTGGACGTGGTCGATTTGGTTGTGTATTCTACCATTTGGAGCGATCCATGTTTTTTTTTTGTAGATTTTCTTGTGATCAAAGTAAGTGCTCATAATTCTCAAGTTGTTCTCTTGCGCAAAGCTAACCAACAACTTCCCATTCAAAAAATTTATTTAACTTAGTTTATTTTCTATAATTTGCTTTTTGGAAAATGTCTTTATTTTTTAACAAGTACGTACTTATTTATGAACTTAGTATCGGTGTATGTAAAGCCGCTTATATACTGCTTTGAATAAGTATGGAAGATTCTAGAAAATTTACGAATGTTCTAGGTTCTCAAAAGTTTCAGAAATATCTTCACCGATCGACCAGATTTTTCAGAAAATTCCAGTAGACCTTCTGGAATCATTGAGAATCTTCCACAGCCTATGCATGGCAGATGTTTTAGGATTTTTAGCATTCAAGAATTTTTCAAAGGATTCTTTGAACACAAAAATGTTAAATGGAAATTACACAAAAACTGGCACTAACTTTTATATCCAGCGTTCTCGAATTAGGTCCACAACTTGACGCAAAAAAGAACCAAAGAAGAAACATTCAATATCAAAAGTCTACTTACAACCAACCGATTGATTCTCATGAGTCCTTCTCAAAAATTCTTTGAAGTGCGCTCTATTTCTCGTTTGTTGCTTTTCAATCTTCTCTTTGCTGATTTCGTCCAAAAATTTCCAAACCGGCGGACACCCATTAAAGTACAGTCCTTTAAGTTTCTTCGGAGCAAAATGTCCCGGAGGAGCAGGTACGTACGTACCTGTTATATGGGAAGCCCTTATTTTGGTGTTACCGACTTGCCATCTAAAATATAGAGTCTTTAGGAACGGGCAATCATTGAAGTTACTTCATGGTGTAATGTTTAATATGAAAATTGTATTTCTATTATTGCCTACCTCTTCGGTTACGATAACTGGTAGTTCTGAAGGATTATTTAATCAACCTAACTTAATCTCACCAAAACCTACAAGTTATAAGAACTTTTGATTTTTCTTTAGGTCACAAAATTTCTTTTTATGTAGGTTGGTTTGACTAAATTGTTCCTAAAATCAATAATCAAGGCCAATATAAGTCCATTATTTCCTCAGAAATCCTTTCTCAACAATTCAAGGCCAAAAATGCACCACTTTAGTGACTTATGTCTACCAGTAAAAATTAAAGCATTTTGAACGAATTTGAAGGTAATTATTTTATAAAACACGCTTAAAGCTTTAAAATGACGATTTTTGAATGTTGATTTACTAATTTTTTGCTTAGAACACTCTAAAAAAACCTAATAGTACAAGCACCCACTGCAGGATGACTACGTTCATCAAATTCACATTTTTAGATTAGGAGAATACATTGATAAGAGGTTGCCAGTCAAAAAGTAGCCGCAAATATTTTTTTTATTTTATCTTTATATTAGACTCACCATAAAAATTTCAGTTTTTTATTTCAACCGCACTAAAAGTATGTTCACTTGTATACTAAGGTGTTGAACGGGTTGCATAACTATTGGGTACATAGTTACGTAGAAAATGGTTTATTTTTTTTATGGCCAGTTCCGCGAACGTAATTTAAGTGGAAATTTGATCTTAAGAGCGTAGGCGCAAAGTTTCGGCCCAATGCTTTTTAAATGCATTAATTTTTTTCAAATCCTGAAAAACTGATAAGTATTTTTGAAAAATTTAAATCAGAATGAAAGATTACATTATTACCGAGTGCCTAAAGTCCCTGAAAACTTCTATGATGTTTTATTATTATTTTAGTAAATTACAGGGATGAAAAAGAAAATCTTTCATTATGCGTTTAAATTTTTCAAAAATATTTATTAGTTTTCTCAGGGTTCGAAAAAAATTAATGCATTTAAAAAGCATTGGCCCGAAATTTTGCGTCATTCATTGATGATGGTTAGAAGTACTTTAAAACTTATGTTGAAACCAAGATCGTTATAAATATACTAATGAAGCATAAAATTTACGTACCTGAGATACGTTTCCGAAAGCTCATAGTCCAAACAAGTATTTTTCTTCGGTCGAAAACTTTCCAAAGTGACTGGTGGTCTGTCTGCGTTTGTTGGAAAAATTTTTGCAACACATATCGGACTATAGTCGTCTAGAAGATCATCCCGACCTTTGCTTCTGGATCTATGTGGATCGGGACTTATTTTTATAGTTTTCTTTGGCGTCATAACTGAAATTTTTTTCCCCATTTTCAAAATTTTAACTTGGAATTTGACAGTCGTTGACAATATGTGAAAGATGATTTTAATCATAAAACAATAACATTTCGAAATAGACAGGCTTGAGTCACAGAATAATAAACAATTGTTATTTATTCTGTACTTGAGATATGAGAGTTTTGTGTCGTCCTGTCAATTATAGACATGCTTAATAGAAAAGTTCAACAATTGTCTCAAAGTTCTGCCACTCCAAAGTAACAAACATTTACTCATTCTTGATTTTATATAAATCAAAAATTGCAGAATTCATAACATAATATAAACAAAATGTACTTTTCTAAAGCTTTATCTTTTTATGTTTGAAGTATACAGCATGTACATTATAAAAACATGCCAACACTGCTATACCGAAATTTTGTGTTCCATGTTTGGCATTTGCGGCTATTATCAGCTTGTACTTTCGGTAAACTCAACGTTATTAGTGGTCTGTGAACTCAACCTGTTTGAGATATTCACGAAAAATAATGATATTTTTGAGACTACTATATTATAGGTATATATATATATATATATATATATATATATATATATATATATATATATATATATATATATATATATATATATATATATATATTTTATGTACTATATACATAATATTATATTCGTTAATTACTATTAAACTGGGAATAAGCCACAATTAAAGATAAAAATACATTTATTGACGTTTCAATTTCCACTTCGGAAATCGTTCTCAAAATACAAACAGTAAATTATTGCCACAAGAAAATAGCTTCAGAACAAAATTATATTCGTTGGTCCCAGTCCCAACTGTCAGTAAATTTAGTAATAATTTTTTTTTCCGCAAATCGCCAGGAAATTTTGACATTCCTGTCAAAATTTCTTGAAGAAAAAGTCAGGACTTCCTTACTGTAAGGAAATGTCATTTCCTTACTGTAAGTAAATGATATTTCCGTACAGCTGTTAGTGTTCTACACAATGACGTATAATATATAGACTCGGTGAACGCTTTAAAAAGTGTCCAAAACATGAATACCTTTGTTATTGTTTATTGTTTTGATACGAAGATACACGAAGTTCATGATTTCTTACGAAGCATCACGAAGTTGATCTTGTGTTTGAAAACATCATGGACGTATGAAAACATTTTCTCCATTTTGTGTGACAAGCAAATTTTATTTTAAATTGTTGAGAGTTATTTACTTACTATTTTAGTAAAATGCCATACTATTTTATCAAAATAATTATTTCTCTTATAGATGGGAACAAAAAGAAATCATAAATATTTAATTTTAATTAAAAAAATAATTATTGTCATTAAAATATAAATGAACACGCCGCTGTTGTGATAAACATACCTTCAACCTTGAGCCGAGATCTTTCGGACACTCGATTCTATAGCGAGAATAGGGGACTGCGTAGTCTATATATTATACGTCATTGGTTCTACATAAATTGTCAAGTTTGACAATTCAAATGGTCTTTGCCATAGATATATAAATAACTACTATAGATGGGAAACTCCCACTGCTACACAAATCCTCTGCGACACCTCGTGGTCTGGGTCAAAATTAAAATACAACGGCGGTTGATTTAAAATATATTTATATTCGTATTTTTTAAAAAATGTAAGGATTAAATGAAGAAAAACATTTGTATATAAAACTTTATTATATATAAAATGTAAAAAATTAAGGATTAAATGAAAAAACATTTGTATATAAAACTTTATTATAGATAAAATGTAAAAAATTAAGGATTAAATGAAAAAAAAAATTGGATATAAAATTTTATTATATATAATGTAAAAAAAGACTACAAAATAAGTACCTATGATTACAAAAGCAAAAAAATAAAATGGGTGATCCTAAAACAAATAAAGTAAAAAATACTATAATTATATTTTTATGAATATTAAAAAAAATATTATATTCGTTCTCCTTGAATGTTCATAGAGAAAGGACGTAAATCGATCGACTCGCTGAAATTCGCTAACGATAAGTTAAAAATCGATTTAAAAGTTAATTAGTGATAGTTAATTGGGAAAACAGTAGAAATAATAAGGAAATATGTCTTCCGAGAACAGCGTAATGGAAGAAGAAATGGAAGATACCGGACAGTGGAATAAAATAAAAAGAGAAAAGAAACGACGCCATCGAATATCGCATTTGCTAAATCCAGTGAAAAGGACTTGGGAAAGAAAGGAAAAGGACAACTGTCTCAACAACAAATTCAAGACATAATATTAGGTCAGCATTCTTCTAAAAACCCAATAAATCAATCCCAACCAAATTCACAAAAAGATGTCAACATTCAAAGCCACAAAAAAAGGTAGTTAACAACACACACCATGATTCACTACAAATGAAAAATATCATGAATCAAAACTATAAACAATTTTGTTATAACAACTCAACAATAATTATCAAGATTTCAGTTTGCTAATTTTTGGAATAGAAGCAATCCAAACTCTTCTAATGTGATAATAAAAACTAGAAATGGGTTTATTTTAAAAAGTAATTAAGATAATAACCGAAGTCATTAGTCCAGTCAAAAGTAACCAAAGAATACAAAGAAACAAATTCTAACCAAAATCAATCCACACAAAATAAATCACATGACACAACTTTTGCCTGTATCATATCATCAGTAGAATTGGATATTGAAGATACACATATTATGAAAGACCATCTCACAAATATCGAAATAAAACACAGATACTGCAAAAAATTACATCGTGAAAAACTGGGAAATTTACCTATTTATACTCATGTTCGATCTGGAAAAACCAACCAATCACTCACCAACTATGCCACAGGAAGGGCTCACAATATTTCAAGATAGTGGCTCATAACGTGAGGTTTATTTATTCAAATATCAATAGTTTTCAAACAGAGAAATACTTAATATACAACTATCTACAAGGTAATAATATCGATAGTTTTATATGTGAGGAAAGCAAAACTAAAAATTTTATTAACCCATATTGTGACGGGTGTATAATCCAACAGGAAGGAAATATATGAAACTCCAGGCATATTATTATGTTCTAAAAATATTATAAATAACATCACAAACGTACTTGTCACTTCAGATCAATAAACAACTCCCTTCTAATCTTCTTCTATTAGCTGTAATTTAATTGACTGGCAATATTGTAATTACCACCACATATACAATTTTTTTTAACTATTGTATTGTATTTAGTCTTAACATAAAATATTTAATGTATATATTAATCTTGTAAATTCGCTGAAAGACTTCAGTCAATTTTTGGTTCCATGGTATCAATAAAGTACCTATATTTCTCTCTCTATATTATTTTTAAAGGAAGGCAATTATTTATTATTTTTAATGTATTAACATACTTTTTATGACTGTAAAATTTTTTTTGTGCATAATTTTAAATTGGGTCATTACACCCAGATTTTACTTTTAATTTTCCCTGTAAAATTTTGGTGATATTTTTTGCATAAATCAGCAAATGAAATGAAATAACATAATTTAATATGTGTTTTAAAATTTGATGTTTTTCACATATAAAAGTAAATGATTTGCATTCATTATACATTATTCCGAAAAGTATTTTTTTTAAATTTTTGTAGTGGCAAACTTTTGGAACTATTTGCTGTAATATGAATATAATCTTTTCAAAAAGTTCACCATATTTACTGTTTGGGGCCATTAAACTTTTTATACTATAAGATTTTGCGTTGATAAAAAAATCTTCAGCATTACTACCATCGCCCAATAAATCTGTCATACAACATCCACAACTTTTAAATTTACGTAAAATTTTTTTTGCCACAAACCCTGCTATATATCTAAGACATCCTTTTTGTAAAATATCTATTTGGTTATTTGGTGTAAATTCACTAAATTGTATATCAGGGATCTTAATTGGTTCATTTTTTGAAATTGGTTCACAATTTATGAAATGTTTTAATGAATCCAAAGCATTTAAATTGTCATCTTTACAATTAAATCCAGGTGAGTGCACAGATGTGAAATCCATAATAATTAAAGATTTAAATGAATGAATAAATGCTGTTGCATTTGGGTTTATATACCTTGCTCCATGACTCCTAATGCGCCCAAAAAAGTTTTCAAGGGGATCTTGATTTAAAAAATTGGGACAAAAATATTTTATATTTTTTTTCTGAAATAATTCCCAAAGGTATCTCATACCTCTTAGAGTGTGAATCCAATTTAGTACACTTGGTGGTACTGTCTGTTTCCCCCTTTCTTCAAATTTTATTGATTCAAAAACTTGAATGGCCTCAGTCCAAAAAGTATAATGTTCGCTTTTTTTTGTTACAGCCATTCTTAATCTTTTTCCATTTTTATTAAAGGTGCCAGCACCATTCACACTATCAAAGACCTTGTCCATAAATAAAATAAATTCAGCTGTACTTTCTGCTTCGGCTGGAAGACAATTTAGTTGAGAAGAGGCCAACTTTTTCATAGCTGCGGCTACAGTATTGCTTAATGTCTGTGCTGCTATGGACACTTTCATTTTTTTAAGATTTTTAACATGACTTTCTGTTAGTTTTGGACATAATTTATAGTCATAATCTTTATCTTCTAAATCATATAATTGATTAATGTGTGCCCAAGTCGCCACTTCAATATTTTTTCTCCACTTAAATTTTACACTTTTATTAAAAAAATTGTTTCTAATACCTTTTAACAGGTGGGGAGGGTCATATAAGGGAATAACTTCTACACCATCTATTAAAAAACCGAATTGATGTGGTTGCTTGCAGTTTTCTTCATATAATAATTTAATAGCCTTTTTATTGGCACTATATTGGTCGCAAATAATTGTAATTGGCAAAAGATCACTATTTCTGCATGCCCTGATGACTTCTTTTATTTTTAAACATAATAGGTGACCTTTCATGCCACTTTCACTAATATAATAAGCAATTGGTTGCTTCCACTTTTTAAAAATTCCTCTGGCCATGAATACCAAGGCTTTATCAGCAATAATTGGCCTATTATATTCATAATCCCCATAATCTTCAAATCCGTAAATAGCACCTTCTTTTTTGTTGTATTGCAATCCAGGATCAATAGATATTTCATCAAAAAGGATGCTACAATACTTCTCTTTTACAGACATTCCCTTTGTACTATTTTTCAAGCTAGCCATAATGGTTTCATTGATTCCAGTTGCAAAGGGAATATTTTGTAAAAGGTTAGTCAAAGTTTTCCTTGAAGGAGCAGCAAATATTTTACGAAATAGTTTGTATCCTTTAGGACTTTAGTTTTAAAAATGACAAAAATAAAATTTTTTCATCAAGGCTATAACGCCTACCCTTCGGTTGAAATTTTTGGCACCTTAATTGGCATTTTATAAAATCATAAGTAGCTTTATTGATGCTTTGGGCCAAAAAATCACCTGATTCCATAACTTTTTCAACTCTTCTTAATTCCTTTTTCAAATTCAAACATTTAAAATCCAGTCGTTTAGCAGTTTTACGAAGATCTTTTGCAATTCTGTAAAATTTTTTCGCCTTAGGTGTTAGTTTAGCAACTGATTCTGTTCCACTGTAGGCCAAAAGTCTTAATTTACTTCTTAAACCTATAAAAAAAGAAAATTGATTATTATATACATTCTTTCAACATATCAGGGACAAAACAAGCTTAAAGAAAACCCTGAATTTTAGTTATTAATGGGAAGAGAACATCAATAATCCCACTGTAAGGAAAAGAAAGGAATAAAATAACAGTAGTACATAAGATTCTTTTATAAAAATTACCTTTTTGCTTAGCTGGAGTTGAAAATGTTTTAGGTGCAGTAACATCACGAACAGGAGATTGGGGAATTCCACTTTCATTAAATTTTGATGTACTGGGTACTTCTACAGCTGGCATAACTTCAGATTCTACAGCTGGCATAACTTCAGATTCTTTAACTAAACAAAAAATAATTTATACTGACTAATTAATTAAATTTTCTTAGTACTTACCATTTTTAATAATTGGAAGAAACAAAGTAGGCACTGCATCTTGCTTAATGGTAGATTTGTATCGACTTCCAATATATTTTTGATTATCATCAAAATGTATGTTACATATGCGATAAGATCTTCTTAAATGATCTATGGTTTTGTTTTTCAAATCTTCTCGACCAATATTCTTTATCCACATTGACCAAATCTAGAAAAAAAAAGAACAAAAATATAGACAGTGCATATACATGCATACAGTAAAGTCATAAAAAGGTACCATTCACTTTACAATAATACCCCTTGAATAAGATATATTTTTAGAAGTCCTACACTCTGAGAACTAAAACTATATATTGGTCTTTATTGGTAGAAAAATAATAAATAATAAAAATTTAACTTACCTTCTCGTCTTTTGGAAACGTATGCAGCTGGGCCTTTTGGCTAGTGTTTCTACAACCTAAAACGCAGCACTTTGAAACCATTATTTCTAGTTTTATTGTTTATATTCACTTTATTATATATCACCAACTTGTAAAATGAGTAGTAACACCTGGTAACACATAAACTACTAGCGATCTCAATCATAACATAATTAATATACCACATGTATACCACATAAATAACCTAATAAAATGGGTGTCGGGTGTCCCGTGTCAGGCGTGTTGTTTGGGTTGCGTGTATTTGGATTTGTATATTTCTTGATTGGCAACCAACTTATTAATATTGTGTATCATAAGTTGTCTAAATAAACAACACTTGTCTGCGTGCGCCACCTCGTATCCTGGGTCGTAGTAAAAAGCAAAGAAATGTCACTCTCATAAGAGTCGCCCACCCGTGGTCTTTGCTCAATACGTTTCCATAGTAACCCAAGTAATTTTATTAGGAATTTCAAAGCACCATTTATTTGGGAATAAAATTATCGCGTTTTTTTTAATCAATATCTGTCGAATTTTAAACGATTTGTGGAAAAATAGTATGTTTGCCACATTCCTGGACTCTGTGTTGCTAAGTCTCGGCTTGCGCCTCGACTTAACAATCTTCACAGTCGTCCAAGAATGTTAAGCTTTTCCTACCCGGTAAACAATGTACTATTGCCATGTTGGACAAATTTTGACTTCAACTGAAAGTTACTACACAACCAAGAATATGTAGTTATAGCCAATATTAATTGTACCTTAAACAATAATAAAATAAAACTATGTTTATTTTTGATTTTTTTTTTAATCATTTGTAGATTAGTATGTAATACTCACACTGCTACAGCTTTAACATTATTAGGTACTTAATGCAATTGGCTTAGCTTCTAGGTCTGTACTTAGATAATGTCGAAGATTTATATTAACTTGTTTAAAATGAGTTTATTGAAGACATAAGATCTTTGGGTATAATTCATTTATTAAAAGTTTTAACTGTTCTAAATCGGTATAAAACTCATTAAGATTCCACTGTAAAAAAATGGAATTGGATATCTTAGAATTCTGCATGAGGTAATTGTTCATCTGTCTCTTCTGTGGAAGAGATATTATTGGGGTATGGTTTCTTTTTTAATCTAGTGAAATTATTTTTTAATTTTGAATTGTCGGTATAAGCGTGAACAAAATTAAGGATCTCAAATTAGCTCGGCAAATTCATTCGAGTAATCTTTTGAAACTATTTCAGGTTGACATATTTTGTTTTCTAGAAAGTCGCATATTTCATTACACTTTAGGGTAAACGGTGTTGGTTTGTTTTCTATTTTGTCTTCAATTTACTCTAGAGAAAGCAAAAGTTTTTGCGGGAATTTCGGGTTGCCTTTTTTATCGTTTTTTTTTTTGTTTGCTTAATACAGGAGAAGTAAATATCTGTGAATCGGTCTGTGGGGTATTTTCGTGAATGCCTGGAGAAGATGAGATGAACCTTTTTAGTTGATTAGGGACGTTTTTAATAATTGGATCTGGTGTTATTTCTACTGGAGTAGGATTTCTGATATCTAATGTTGGGCTTTTGAGGAAGATATTTCACTTCTATTACTTATGGATCCTATCAGGTTATTGTCTTCTTCTTCCTATGCCGTCCCCATTAACGGATATTGTCGACCACATTTCTAAAAGTTTATGTCTTTTGCATGAGTCTACAGTCATGTTTGTCCAGTCTCGAATATTTCGTAGCCATGACTTCCTCTTTCTACCTATTCCCTTTTTGTCATCGACTCTACCCTGCATGATGACCTGCATAAGACTATATTTATCATTCCTCAGTATGTGTTCAAGTTATGCAGTCTTGCATACTTTAATTGTTCTCAACAATTTTTTGTCTCAACCCATCCTTCTCAGCACTTCCTCATTGGTGACCCTGGCAGTCCATGGAATTCTCAACATTCTCTGGTATATCCAAAATTCAAAGGGTTCACGCTTCTTAACTATTTGCGCTTTTACCGTCCATGTTTCTACCCCATACAATAGTTGGGACCAGACGAAACATTCAACAAACCTGTCTCAGCGCAGTATTCAGATTTTTTTCACAGAACAATTGCTTGAATTTTAAGAACGCTGCCCTTGCCATTTCTATTCGTACCCTAATTTCTTGGTCTGGATCTAATTCTGTGTTGATGTAAGCTCCCAGATATTTATATTTTGTCACTCTCTATATTTGCTGTCCACCAAGGGTTAGTTGTTCATTATTTATTGGACTCCTTGATACTATCATAAATTTGGTCTTATCTGTTTGATGTGAAGTCCCATTTGAATGCATTCACTATTTATTGCATCTAGTAAAGTTTGTAGTTCTTCTATACTCCCAGCCATAATTACCGTGTCATCTGCAAATCTCATGGTGTTTACGATTTCTGCACCAATTACTGATTTGCAAAAAAAAAACAATTTTTTGCCAGTAAGCACAAAATTTTTCTTGTATGTCTTCTTAAATTTTTTATAGTGTCCAATTTCCTCTGATATATTTTATAATCTATGTACTGATCGATTTAGGTTTATTAGGGGATATAAAACAACGTTTCATCAGTCTGTTTATTAGATATGTTTAAACATATAGAAATAATTGCATGAATACCATAAAAAAGAAGAACTAATACTTAATCCTATACAATAAAAAAGTTAAAAGATATATCCACAAAATAACTGTAAACATCTGAATTGTTACATGTAATTTTATTTACTAAAAAATATCCATGAAAAATTAGAAAAATCTCTCATTTCTTCATACTAAAAAATCACAGCTTCATTACAGTTCATTCCTGAATATAACAACTATTTTAATTTCAATTTTTTTTTATATAAACAATCCTCTAAAATTCAATTGAAAAAATTTATATGGAATGTCGTTAACTACATAAATAGTTTTTTTTTCAAAAATGTAACATACGATTTCATATATTACTGAGCTGTAATCAATTTTTTGTTAATATAGACAATCTGGCAACAGACAACAGCATTTTTACACACCAATTCTTTTTAGAAACTATAACATAATTTAAAATAATGTTTAAAGTATATTTGTCAAATAAAATGAAAATTCTCAAAGATTTGCTTTGAAATAACATGTATAGGTAAATTTTAATGCTTCTGAAGCATTATCGTAAAGGTATTTATTAGTTAAATTCCCCTTACAACAGAATAACAGGTTTATAATATGTTCTGGAATGGATCCTTCAAATACAAATGAAAATTATGAAAGATATAATAAGAAATAACGTGTAGGATAACAATTTTAATGCTTCTGAAGGATTATCGCGAAGTTTTATAAATTAATTTTAGAGGGAAAGGTTTTTTGCACCAAAATTCCCTTCAAAACAATAAAAATGTTTAAAATAATTACTAAAATCGATTCTTCAAATAAAAATTTAAATTCTAAATGATGAATTAAGAAAATAAAGAAAATACTATGTATAGGGACAATTTTAATGCTTCTGAAGCATTACCGCGAGTTTTTGGAAGTTTTTTTTTTAGTGGAAAACACTTTTAAACTCAAATTATTTTTCCGTGCAAGGATTTTTACAACAAAAGAGGAACTTTTTAGAACTGAAAAGAAAGTAACACGTAGCAAAAATATTTAATTGCTCTGCAGCATATCGCGATTGGGGCTAAACAGTAATCAAAAGATATATACTCTAATTACTGGTGACAAAACATGAAATAGAAGTTTGCTTAACTATTATGTATGTAAAGGAACAACTAAATTATTAACTCAGAACAAGTAAACGATATTATTTAATATTTGTGAAGCATTATCGTGATCCTTGAGTACTAGTTTACGCAGAAAACATTTAATGCTTGTGGCAGTGAAATATCAGCACATTTAACTAAGAGACAGTAAAGATCATGAAAAGGTTAATATAAACTGCAATAAAAATCAAATTTAATTCTTATGAAGCATTATCGCAAGCTTATAGGATCTGTCTTTGTCGAAACTGCTTCATTCAGAATGGCATAAAAGTACATTTAACTATCTTATCAGTGAAGGTCCTGTTGAGAGAAAAAGGTGCCTGTGAAGCATTATCGCTATCAGGGGTTGCAGAAAACATCTTGATTATTTTTAGGGTGAAAAATAGTTTATTAGTTTATTTGACTGTGTGTTGTTGTAGATCGTAAAAAGGCATACATAGGGAAGCAAAATTAATGTTTTTGAAGCATTATGGGAATCCTTTACGATACATCTGTTTCACAGTATCTTAACTGCTTCTTCCAGAGTGATATAAAATAAAATTTAAGTAGAGTATTAATTAAATCGTTAATATATTAGCAAATCATGACATTTATGAAGCATTATCGCAATCAACTGACATAGAAAACGTTTTGATTATTTGATTTAAAGCGAAATAATAATTTAAGTAACAACGATCATTGCAGATACTGACATAAAGAATCAAAATTAATGCTCATGGAACATTATCGTGATCATTTAGAAGTCTTTTTTTTACACATACTTACGTTGACTTATTGTCAAAGACATTTACTGCAGAACTGAGTTTATTTAAAGACATAGAAAGCATAAGGAAATGGCATAAAATGGTTATTTGGAAAGTGATGGTCGTCCTAGTTTTGCCAAAAATGGTAAACCGATTTGTCAATTCGCTTATTTAAGTCGATTATCTCGTAGAGTTGTACATAATTTTACGCCAAAAGTAGACCGAATAAAAGAGCGCTTTGCACTGTTGCCAAATCTTAAAAAATCCGGGCTGTTCCGCTTTTTGTACCATCGAAAAATAAATTTACATTTCACTTTGTCTTCCCCTACGAAATATTTATTTTAAATCCCCCTTATCTATGCCGTTTCACAGAACAACCCGGTAAAACAGATAAATATTATCTACACGTTTTTAAATCGGACAGAAAACATTTCGAAAACGAAGAACTCCGTTCGAAACGTTTGCAATCCATCGCTTTAGAAATAGATAAAAATCAAACAGTTATAGATTCTATTCGTCGATCTGAGACTCTTGAGAGGGCACTAATGGTAAATCTTGATCGGAGCTGCTGCTTTTGGTGGGCTGCAAAATCTACAACAAACACAATGGTTAGCACAGTAGCCTCCTTAATTCATATCCCAAAGAGTAGATAAAATTCACATGGTACCGTGTCTGGAAATCAGGAGGGATGGTTCAACTCCTAGACCGAGGAATGGTTTAAAAATATTGGTGTAAAGAGGCTATTGAAAGGCATTTACGGTAGTAATAGTGTAAGAAACTTTACATCACAAAAAACAGAAACTTAATCCTGTAAATTAACATATATAATTGTAACATATTAACTGCTGGTAAAAAAGTGTAAATATCTCATTATATAAAAGAAATATTGACATATTTACCTGAAAAGCGGATCCCAAGCTTGGTTTCAGCTTGAACGTGCAAATTTGCGGGACGTGCTCTACAGTAAAAAACTTTTTGTCGTTCAGAGACTTCGACTGGACCTTTTCGCAACCATCGGGTGGTTCTCTCGCTAAAAATCTGTTAATCTGTGGTGAAGATCCTAGTTTACTCGTTTCTTGATCCGGACTAGAAGCTTGGCTCTCTCCTGAAACGAAATATGCAAGGGAATGAAATTGCGAAAATTTCTAGACCTGATAAGATATGTTTTCTTCCATTTTGATGATTCTTTTGTATAAAATCATCAAACATTTTATTTGGATTACTGAAAATACTTAAAACTAACCCAAACAGGCCAAAATGAATTAAAGAATATATTGTAGTCACTTTACCTGATGAGTTAGAACTGTGTCCAAAATTATGCGGTGTCTGCGTGTCCACGGACCTAGACCTCGAAGCAAATTTGAAAAGATCCGCGACTGGGGCTCTGTGTCCTTCTGGGATCGTCTCGGAATATCTGTCATGATCGTAGGATCTGCTAATGTGCGCTTCACTATCGGTCTTCAATACCAGCCTTTCAATTTCTTGGTTGAGACCCTCCACCGAGCTTCTGATGGACGATTTTGGCAATGGTTTCAAACCTATGTTCACGGGATTGAAGGTCGGGGATAAAATACAAGCTGAAACACAAATTTCTCTACTTAACTTAATTTAGAGAAGACTACATAACTTATAGTTAAGGCATGTTGTGTCTAAATCTTGAACCTAAACATGAATCTAGCTGTTTATGTAAAATGCTGTTTTACTTACAGGATAAAGTTTGGGAACTGCTGTTCAGTGTGTGTTCGCCTGGAGATCCATGCCTAATGCCTAAATCTTTGGTATTCCATATCTTTGATCTTATGGTAGGTTTCTCAGGCTTGTCGTCAGTTTCGGATGAACACTGTACTATCCTCGAATCAGACAGATCCGAGTCGTCAGTCTAAAAGAAAAAAAAAGTTAAAGAACTTTTATAGTTAGTAGATCGTTGTCGATAGGATATTCTGATCAAAAGATATCGTTGTACTGAAATTAGAAATAACTGTTTCTTCATATTGTTCTGAAGTTATTTTCTTGTGGCATCTTATGCACATTTACTATTTTAATTGGAAATAAGCCTGAATATTAGCTAGAAATTGAATTTATTTAACGTTTCGACTTCAACTTCGGAATATTTTTATAACGATTTCAAAAGTGGAAGTCTAAACGTCAAATACAATTAATTTGTTGCCATTTTCCTCCTCCTAATTATACTTTGCGTTAATCGATATATTTTTTGGTTAAGTACACCGTCGTGAAAACAAACTATAGAAAATGTCACACTGAGAGTGCAGTACGGGTAAGATACAGCAATGCTTTTCTTATGGAGAATAAACGCGCAGGGTTGTCGGTTTTCTCCAGCTGTTGATTGCTCATTGTCTCACAGGACCGGCTTGGATAAAATGCATCTGCCGGCAGTACGAGTAAAATATTTTATATCATGTATACGTATACAGTAGAATAAAAAGGCATTGATGAGTTATTGACAACAAAAACTATGAATTTTGCATATAAAACAAGAACAACATACAATAACTGTAGTTTTAATGTTTTACATAAAATAGAAAAAACCTACATAATTTCTAGGAAAGAATTTGGAAACTTGGAAATATTATTTATAGATATTATATATAATATTCAAATTTCCAATTCTTTCATAGAAATTAGATTTTTTCTATTGTATGTAAAATATTAAAAATACAGTTATGTTGTTTTTGTAAATAGGTCTTCATTTCTTTTGTAAAACTTCTGCTACAAATTACCGTCATTAACATAATCACCTAAATATGGCCATAAACTTGTTTGTAATAATTAGTATTTGATAAACTCCAAGCTTTCCCTATTTCACCCCCTACCCATCCTAAGGATGGGTAGAAGGTGAAAGTGCTTTTGGAAAACGAAACTACACTTCAAAATTTAGTCCGAGTTTCAACAGAGAGCATGGAGTCCCATAAGTTTAAATCCGTTGAATTATTTAACGGTTGCGCTAAACTCGTAGTGTTAAATGTGTTGTGTTTTTTACAAAATACGGAACAACTTAATGTAAGTGCTGCTGTAAGACGTACTTCGTTAATGACTGGTGTTAGCAAAAGAAGCATTTACAATTTCAAAAAAGAAAAAGAACAGAGTGGAACGTTGAAATCGACAAAAAACGTAAAAAACGAGTGTGTCAATCAAATTCTAGAATATTCACATATGACGAGGGTGTAAGAAGTATTCTACGGAAAATTGTTCATTGTGAATTTTTCATGAAAAATTTGCCGCCATTCTTAAAGCATATACATAACTTCATACAAGGTAATGAGAATATACAGCCGTTGTCTCTTTCTACTTTATACAGACTTCTGAAAGATATTGGATTTGTTTATAAGAAACGTGGCCGAAGAAGCATCGTGGTGGAGCGAGAGGATATTATTCATTAGCGCCATAATTATTTCAGAACTATACGACGTTTGCGAAAAGACCATTGCAATATCATATATTTGGACGAATCGTGGGTTAATGTTGGCCAATCTATAAATTAGGAATGGTGCGATACTACGATACAAAACAGTCGTGATGCTTTTCTCAAAGGTTTAAGTACTGGCTTAAAAGCACCTACTAAACGAGGTCCACGATATGTTTTATTGCATGCAGGTTTTTCAGGAGGTTTCCTTCCTGGCACACAGCGTGTTTTTCGGGAAAGAAAAATGATGGCGACTATCACGATGAAATGGATGCCGCATATTTTGAGTCGTGGTTTAAGGAGACATTAATATCAAATTTACCAAATAATGGTCGCAGGAATGTCATTGTAATGGACAATGCATCGTACCACTCCCGTAAAGAGAGATTCCCTAACAATTCCTGGAATAAAGCTGCAATCAGGGAATGGCTAGTGGAAAAAGACATTTTTTTCGAGGAGTGTTATTTGAAATCCGAGCTATTAGAAGCAGCGCGTGCTTTTAAAGATCAATACGATAAGTATTATCTTTATGAGTATGCTTCACAACATAATGTTTATATTTTAAGGCTTCCTCCATATCACTGCGAATTGAATCCTATAGAAATGGTGTGGAACCAAGTTAAGCGATATGTAGGTACCCATAATACAGTATATATGCAGCATATCCCCTGCGAACACAGGAAGAGTAGCGAAAGCGAATCCGACATCTCGGATGTAGAGGACGACTTTAGTATAATTAATTGAATATCTGTGAGTAACCTCGATTATTTTACACTGTATAACCAATAAAATGCATTTACCAGTCCAATCAGAGTATGGGCTTTCCGGATATTGGGCTGGGTGCACGGAAATTGAGTTCCCGGAGGTTCCACCCTGTTACCAGAGGTTCCACCCGGTATATTTATAGCTATCAAGAAATGTAATTTAAAATACATTTGTTAGTTTAATAAAGTATACAGTTTTATAATAAAATTCTCGCTAAAAACTTAAGGTTTTTTTATTCAAATTCATGCCTCTTATTTGGCTACTTGAAGGCAATTATTTTATCAATATATTATTTTATAATAAATAACAGATTCCGGCGTAGAGATCTGGGTACGGTTCTGTGACTACCACTTGGACCTGTTTGTATCGCCAAGCACAAGGCGTGAAATCTGGCAATTGTGCATTCCTATATTAGCCGTACTGCACTCTCGGTGTGACATTTCCTATAGAACTGAAGTTGAACCTCTAGTTGGATAGCAAGTCGGAGCGTGAGTGGAGACGAATATCCAACTAGTAATCCTACTAAGTGGGACCGCAAGTCGGAACGTGAATGCCCAGCTTTAGGTTATCTGTTAATAGTCAGTGAAGGCGTTTAATTTATTTAATAAGTAGATTATATACACTATACTGAATGTTATACACTATACTGTTGTTTTCTTATAGAATTCCATTTGAAAAAGAAAAATAAATTGATTATAAAATAAACGAGCTCGCCATTATTGTAATGGTAAATAATAAAAAATTTATAAATAAAAAAAAGTAAAAATGTGTATATTACCTGTACAGCCTTGTCCACGTGAAGTGTACCCATATGCCCGTAATAATACCCTTCTTTTGGCCATTGTCCTTGAAGATATATCGTATCTAAGGAAGCGGTTCTTCTGATTGAACTGCCCGTATCTTCAGGTTCGGTTTTTGATTTCCCTGAAAAGACAAAATGTGTGTGGAGATTTAAAATACACTGTTTTATTGAACATCTAAAATTCTGCTTCGTCTTTGGTCGAGCTCACATATTTCAAGTAATTAACATGACAGATGGCGCAAGAATGGAAATTTTCTTGTTCTTCTTCCAATGATTGAATTAACTGAAGTAAGATAAACATGTTTGAGTTATACCCTTCATATAACATCAAAGTTTCGCTGACACTGGCTAAATGTTGGTAATGCACCTGTTTAAATTGTAACGATAAGAGTTCTTTATCGTTACTGAAAAATTTAAAATAACTTAATTCTGTAAGGTATGCAACCAACTATACATGTAATGGGGTTATCAATTGTTTGTCAATTGGTCAAACTGCCTACCTGCCGTTTCCGTATACCTTGGAGCTGACGGAAGCCAACGATTTTAAAAGTGTAAGAAGGCACTTTATATCCAGCCTTTGAACGGGACAGAGGACTGATTGCCGAAGGAGAGGACAAGTTAGCCGAAAAGCCTTTTAAGTTATTCAGAGGTCAATTATTTAAGTTACAGAAGGCGTTTTGTTTTGAGTTTAGAAGTTTTGGGATAAGAAGATTTTGTTTTAATTAGTGAAATAGTGTTGTGTTGGGTGAGTTTCATTTTAATTAAAGTAAATGATTTTTTTTAACCATTACTAGTTTCATATTTATATCATTTATTCAATTAATTTTCCCTAATTATATCAGTCAAATCACGTTCAGAATTCTTTCTGTTAGAAATTCTCCTAAGTACACGTTCTCATCAATATCCAAGCAATTCGGTAATGTAAGGAGATCCTTCATTACTCTTTGCCTACAATATATTCGTTAAGATATGTTAAATGTCAATTCTTCTTTGAAATATTCATAGTTAAATCCCAACATTATTTTTATAAATACATAGTTTTCAATTAATTTTCCAAGGTCACAAAAAGTGTACAAACCTTCACTAATTATCATCATTCAGGCTAGTTTTTTTTTGTACTAATCGCCTTTTTGTTTATTAACTCAGAATAAAGCTAATGAGAGCTTCCTTTGATATTATTTTTAGTCGCTGGAGGAAAAAATGATTATAAAGTCAAATCAGGATTTTTTTGAATTTGGGATAATGGAGTCCATGTAGTTTGGTTGTAGTTTTTTTTTTTGGTTTTTCCCGATTACTGGAGTAGCAGTTCAGTTAACTACTAGAAGAGTGTACTTCTAGGTTTCAACCTTACGAGTCCCAGTGACGTACGCATCCGGAAGAAGAACTTTCTCAGTTTGAGAGTAGTCAGGTTCCTTTATAATAATTGTTACTGCTATTTTAAAATAATTTCCTTAAGTTTTATTTAAACTTTAGTCAGTCAACGAACAAAACCTTAATAATAATTTTAGTCAATTTTCTTAACTCATATTTTCGTATCATTAGTTATATAACGTTTAATTTTGTTTCTCAATATCATTTGTTTATTTTTATTATTAAATCTTTAAATATATATATATATATATATATATATATATATATATATATATATATATATATATATATATATATGTATCAGTTATAACAGGGTAGGGGTGGATCTTAGACCATAAAAACTGATAGACGCGCCGTAATGCTATTCTCTCTTCTCGAGGACTGAAGCCAACATAAAACGATTCACACAGCTGTGAGTGACGTCAGTTTGCGGCAGAAACGGTAGAGATTAGAAGTGTTTATACGCGTTGTAAACTTTTTAAAGTGTTTCAATTTAAAAATTTTCCAAAACATTAATATTTTAATTATGGTGGCATCTTGCAGTGCATTTAATTGTACGCAGCGACAAAAAATGGACAGATATATCATTTCATGGGTAAGTAAATTCACAAATTAAACCTGAAAAACATACCAGAAATTTAGAACCTATTATTTTACTTTTTCCTCCCAAAGTGTTTTAAATAGATACATATGAGATAGAGAGTCTTATATATAATTTTCATTTTATAATTAGATTGAAAACTAAAGGATTAAGTAAATAAATTGTTTTAGATTTCCTAAAGATTCATCATTGCAAAAAAATGGATTATAGCGATGCGCCAATTGCAATATTAAAAGATAAAGGAGTTGATGGTCAATACATACGATTCATAGAAAAGTTATACTGGCGTCAAACAGCGACAGCTTGCATAAACGGAAAATCAACAGAAATATGTAAAATGCAAAGAGGTGTCAGACAGGGTTGTATACTATCCCCACTGTTATTTAAATTATATTCAGATAGAATATTTAAAGAAGCGCTGCATAATTTGGAATGGGGCGTGAAAGTTAATGGAATTCTGATAAATACAATCAGATATGCAGACGATACAGTTATGTTAAGTGATGACATGAATGGACTACAATGCCTTTTAAATGCCATTGATACAGTGGGAAGAGAGTTTGGCATAAATATAAACTGTTCAAAAACAAAACACATGGTGTTTAGCCGTTTAGCACATCAAGATGCACGATTATATGTTGATGGTCATATAATTCAAAGAGTGTCCAGTTTTAATTATTTTGGTTGCCATATTACTGAACAACTAGATCCAGATCAAGAGATAAAATGTAGAATCGAGATAGCCCGCACGACATTTTTAAAAATGGGGTAAAAGCGAAATTAAATTTATGTACAATTCAAAAAAATTAAACGATTCCAAAATAATGACAAAATTGATCTTAAATGTCATGAGTAACGTGCATGGTTCTGTTTTTAACGCATACAAAGAACATATGTTTCATCATGAATTTAAAACAAACCATTTGTTTAATCTAATAGAGATAATTTGTTTCCATTATTGCAACATTAGATTGTACCACGAAGTTGAAAAACTAAATAATGTAATAAGAGTTAGATGTAAGTTAACAAAAGCTATTTTGTTTTGTGGTCAATAAATAAATAGATTTACTACATATTTTTTTACCTCAAACTAGATCAACTAGATAGATTGAGTATTAACTGGCCAGTCTCAAGCATACCCTGCTAGCCGAACTGCATTCAGTTTCAACTTTTATTTTAATTTAGTTTCAAACTTATCTCCACACTACTCTACAGATCTTATAACATCAGGGACCTGGTCCCAAGTGATCTAGCTACTATTTGTTACAGTAGCGCCCAAAGTGTAGCAATATAAGTTTTTTGTTACAAAATCTATAAATCCTACACTCACATCTCCCTAGCCTCAGTGAATGAATGAACATTATGCAAACGACGCGAGATGTGAATCGGTACAATCAGAGATGGAAAACAGAAAACAAGTCAGGTTGGATAATAACATCTAAACATGAAATGTATTGACCAGTTCAAATCATGTCTCATATAATAAATGCTATACACATATATACACACACAATATATGAGCCACTTCCCATATCAGTTGGCCAATCTATGGAATTTGCAGTTTAAGTCGATTGCCATAAACAAAGTTCCCATATTAATTAATATGGCATTTTTATAAATATTTATTAAAAACATTGCTCTTATGGTTTTTTATATATTTTCAACAATAAAAAAATTAACTAAACCCTGGCTATGCATTCGCTTATGTTAACATACGTTGATTTTTCATAATTACGTTAAATCCAGAGATTACGTTAAATCTTATGGAAAAATTACATCAAAACAATATATATATATATATATATATATATATATATATATATATATATATATATATATATATATATATATATGGAGGAGTATCACCGAGCCGCAAGCCCTTATCTCTTGCCGTACTGCTCCACCATAGGCCGATCAGATCCCAGCATATCCTAGTCTAAGCCGCAGATTCGTCTAGAATTTTAAACTGCTGCGTTAGACTTTTTGTTTTTCTGTACACCGAGCTGGGGCTCGATCCCACATCCACTGAACCATTCGACAGTGAAGCGAATGAGAGGCAGCCGCACAGCTCGGTGAGCTATCTGACCGACCAAAACAATAATACTGTCAGTTAATGTCAAATATATTTTGTAGTATTGCCGTTTGTGGATTGTACAATGGGTTGAGGTAAAGTTATCGATCAGAAAATTTGTTCAATCATTATTAGATTTTTTAATTCTGGAAAACTACAGGTTATGTAGTTGAAAATGTAGTTATGAAATATAGTCAGAAGATACAAAACTACAGGTTCGGTCGTCACAAAACCTAGAAATGTAAGAAAAAGTAAAATAACCGAAGCACATCGAAGGGCATTAAGACGCATTATAGTAAAAAAATCGACAAGCAAATTCGTTATGGAATGACGTTATTGGAAGACAAGTTTCTAGATCAACATCGAGATCGAGATGTACTTTTTTTTTCAATTGTTACTATTTTTTCAACAATACACATTAAATTTTTAATTTCTAGCTAACGAAGTATTGTGTAAAATTGAATAACGAAACTTTGAACTTCCTATAATTTTTTCTCTAGGATCAATACTTTCCGAATTATAAACGAAAATAGGAGCAAAAATATGAGAAATTTTCAATTGTTTTCAGATTTTGTTAAATAAAAAATTTAGCACAGGGTTTGAGACTGGCGGCGCATATCGTGATTATCGGTATTGGGCACATCCTGAAGGAATTCCAGCAAAAAAATGGCTTCCTATGGAAAATGTCCATTATGGTCTGAATTTCTACAGTTTCCGCCTAGTCTACTAGTACATATTATTATAATAAACTTATTTTAATAAAGTAAAATTGTTATTCTTATTCTAAATAAAACTAGTAAAATGTGTGCTAAATAATATATTCGCTAAAATATTGATCTACTTACAATGAAAAATAAGGGGAGTAAGTCGTATAAAAAGCACATCTGCCATGTTTACCAAACACTAATAGAACTATTTTTGAGGATGTACACATCCAAATGATTTGTTGATACGAAATAGGTATTTACCCATGTAAGTTTTAGAAATACTTGGCAAGTAAAAACCATCAATGTTTCTAATAATAAACGTCGAGTGTGAGTGTTTACAGATATTTTGCGTAATTGTATTATTCGAAAATT